TTCCGCCACCAAGTCCAGTGGCTGACCCTGCAGCCAGCAGTCCACCAAATTTGAGTGAGCCTGTTCCTGAACCTGTTTCTGTTAGACGATATCCGGTCCAAGTGCCGAAGCCCCCAGCTAGGCTGGATTAATGAACTTTGAAGTGACATTAAGACTGTGCTTATTTCAATAGGCGTGTTGTGTTTGACTTAACGTTTCAGATCCTTATTAGTTACCATATTGCATGCACTAGCTAGTGGGGAGGAGTTGTGGTGTTTTTGGCCAGCGGCCAATACACTTTGTGCATGCACACTTATGCACCATTCTGGAACGTAGTCCGTTCGAATCAAAGACATGACACATATGAAGAGACCAGAAGCGGGGCCAGAGGGTCATGTATGGAGAAAATTTTTCAAAATTTTGCGTAGGGGCTTAACTCTACAGTCACTTAGCTGCAACGGCTATTTGTGTATTCCTGATCGCTTGGTAATTCTAAATGAAAATTGAATACTTTCAAGGGAATCAGCTTTTACTAACAGCTTTTCGCAGGGGAAGCACATTAAGGCCTTATGTCTGTAGTTTCCAGTCAAACTGAATCGTTCACAACGAATATATTGGAGTTGAGCAAAACGTTTTCTGGAAAACTGCATAATAGCAAAGTGCAAATAGCAGTCAGTTTCAAGCTAATAAAAATTAATTAATTACTACCGCAGCACAAAAAGTAAAACTCTGAAAGCTGAACAAACCAGCCTTATTCAGTATTTTTACCCCATTAATTTTGCAGAATTGACGAGGGGGAGAAAGAAGATGATGTTCCAGGATCAAAGGGGTTATAAACAGCTCCTTCCTTCTGTCTTTCTTTGCTTTTTTAGTTAAGATTACTAAATAACCAGGTCATTATCATCTTCTTCATAATTTTATGAACACTAATGATGTTCATAAAATTATGAACATATATGTTAATATATTCTCCTTTTTAACTGTGGTTAGTTGGCTTTGTTTAAAAGTTTCTTTTGGGTTTCCATAAGGCAACTTTATTTAAGAAGTAAACTTTGTGTTTTTTGAAGATGGACAGAACAATTCTTAGGTAATCCAAAAGAAGAAATTAATGTTACTAGTACAAGCTATATGTTGTTGAAGATGGCTCTCAAAGTTAAGGAACAGTTGAGATCGTGCCAGCAAAGAAGACTTGCGGGCCCAACAGCGAACAATGTTCAGCTGAGATAATTATACTAATCTTTTCCTTGGTACTGTGTTTATTAAAATGATGTTTAACAAGGTTTTGATCTCATATTGTAAACAAAGCATATACATACATACTTTTCACTAGAGACTGACCACGCCTTTGAATTGCTGCTGGGGTTTCTGGTTCATTGCACCAGCAGAAATAGGACCAGACCTCTGAACTACACAGACACGAGACTCAATCTTATTTGCTACTTGAACTTAAAAGTCTGAAATACAAATTGTTTAATTCTTTTGCACTATTACGTCGACAAAATTTTACCTTTTGATATTATTATTGAATATATTTCTGATTACAGCTATTGGTATGCAAATTTATGAACAAATGAGAAAGAGAAACCTGCCTGTAATTAAGCGATAAATTCTCTCCATTTAACTTAGGAAAGCATTACGTGAAAATATTCCTTTTCTAGTTTGCCTGCTTTTTTTTTTATCCATTTGTATTGAAATACAACAAAATGATTTTGTGACTTGACTTCATGCGTTTAGTTGGTGATTCATATGGGATACGGACTAAACAAAAGACGGATAGAGGTTTTTTGATGTTTCTCTAAGTTAACATCAGCAAGATATTCAGTTTTAGAAGAGTACCTTTAAAGGGAAGAACAGGAAAAAGACCATATATGGCTGTTTGTCATTCAGGACACAGTTGTCCGTATTACTTGGGTAAATTTTAGAGAAATATATCATGAACTTTACTTCAGGACAAACGAAACCGTCCGTTTTAAAACGTTGTAATAAGCAGTGTCCGTAGAACGGGATTCCACTCCTGATCAGCTTGTACGGAAAATCGAAACAAGTTAGAGTTTGATTAATACACAGGGATGGACGATAAAGCTGAACTGGAGTGAAAAAAAAGTATACTGCAGGTGACATGGGTGATTTGAAATAAATTTAATTTTCCGGACTTCAGTACGGAGCTTTTCTTCTCCACTTGTCACGCCCTGAAAACATGGTTTGAGTTATCGAGCCTAAAATTATACATAACTGACCGGAAAGCAAACAATGGGTTGGAGTAAACTTACTGAAATCGAAGATTCTATCGATAACGTGCCTGTCTGAAGAAGCGTTTTGTGCGGAGTCAGCTGTCACCTCAATAAAGTTTGAGTACAACAGTCTAACATGCATGTGTCATTCACAGTTTTTTGCTCTAAATTCTTTCGACAGTACTCAATTTTACAACCCCCCCGGGTGGGAACCTGTATTGTCAATGCAGTGTCATTTTTAACACTAATGATATCCAACGATCCAAAGAAAAGAGAGCAGTAAGTGAACGTTTATTTCACGAATGGATACGTAAAAACAGACGTGTAATAAGAGTGGGAATTTATTATTGAAAATCGGTGATACACAGTGCCTAACGCGGCCTACTTGAAAAGAGCCTATGAAAAGCAATGAAACAAAAGACGCAAAAAAAGCTGGCTAATTTCCTTATATTATTGAATGAATTAAAACTCTGCGGGAAAAGTAGCAGATTACAAATCAAGTGACAACTGTAGTAGTGTTGATGGATCCATACGAATAATTCGAGCCCGACTACGATCATAGGGCAAACAATTTCAATGATTCCTTTATTTATGAATTGTTTGCTGATTCGGACAACGACTCTTTTGAAGGGTTTGATACCGATGATTGTCATTTTGGTCCCAGTAGCAAGGTTGTTTCTTTTCACCACTGAAGAGACGATCGGAGGTAAGCTCCTTTTATAGGCCTTATATCAGTAGCATTGCAATCCCTTTTTGGTCGTCTATTTGGACATAAACAACTATTGGCCTAAAATAAATAGCAGAAACATTGCCGATACTTAGGCTAAACGCATTTCCCGACACTTGAACCATGACAACATCCTAAGCTAGAAGTGGAAATCACCTTTTACTGCAGCTTTTCGCAGGGCTGAGAAGCACATTCCTTGTGTGTAGTATTAAACCTTCAAACGTTCTCGTTGAGCTTCGCTGGCTTATTGCCCTACTTTCTCTTTTTCTTTGTCTTTCTCTATACTCCAAATTTGTGGTCATGATGACAGTTAATCTAAACTTAGTCATACTTTAGATAACACGGATACAGAAACATTTTCCGCTTTCTGTTTTCGTCTTTATTGACTCTTAAGTTGTCTCTGCTTCACAAGATGCGGGTGGCCAAACATTTTCCCGTCAACATGATAACCCGACATTTTGCCTCTGCTTACATCATGTGTGTACAGATGGGCCCACGCTTCGTAATAAAAAAATTTTCTTGCATTCATAGGTTTCCAATATTTATCTATCTTAGCAATGGGGCATTGCATGCGAGCCAATGAATAGCTGTAGCATAGTAGTTTATGACCAGCAAATACGCTTTGATATTACTGAGGCCATGCTTTGGCCAACAAGGTTAAACTTAGGAGCCTACGTGAAACTATGCCGAAAACCAACGACAAAAATACAGTAGCGAGCGAAGTGTAACTGGCTTTAGTATAACTAAAGTACTATGGTATAGTACTAAAACAGTGGATAGCGTTTTTCGTGTGCTCTGATTGGCTACTCAATCAGTGGATATCCTGTGCTGGTTCACCTCTGCTTCATCCGAGTGAGTGACCCCAAACTCGCTAAGTTGAGAGCAAAATGCCTTCCCGGTTTCCTTCCGTAACAAACAAAGAAATTTCACAAATAGTCAAACAAGCTGCTCCCGAAATACACGATGAAGGTGACGAAGTCCGGTTTGGAGGTTTTAAGAGGTAAGTCTGTGACTTGAATTTATCGATGAAACTGGTGAAAAAGTTTTTTTTGACAAATGCAAATTAAGCTTAAGTCTTACATTACTTTGTTTAGTTGACTTGTTCATAAATGAGCTTAAAACTAAATTTAATAATCTCTTTTACAGAATGATTTTAAATACGAAAAGAATTCACAGTTCCTTTGAAAAAATTTCCCGCAAGAGCTAAACAAATGCCTTCAAAAGTTTTATTTGTCGGTAAGAAAAATCGACGACTGCGGCCGTATTTACTTCCTTGAGAAGCGCCGTTTTCATCTGATACGTCCCTTGCTATGTTAATATTATTAATTTAACTGACACCCGAGCGATATTCCAGATATTCCAAGCTTCGAGATTAACACTTCCGTTCCTGCAAACAGCAGCTAAGCTGGCTGCGGTGTTGGCAGAAAGCATCCCTCTCTGTGATCATCAGTAAAACCCAATTGGCAAGGAACAAAACCAGTACCTAGTGCTGGGGAATTCAAGCTGCTAAAAAAAATCAAGAGTAGTTTTACAGCCAGCTTTACAGAAGAAAATTGTAAAATCCAAAGCACAACACGTGAGGAAACCGCTAGGGAGGGAGGTAAGGGGAGCTGTGGCTTTTGCGTTTGCTAAATGGAGAGCTTTCTTGCGGGATGTTAAAGGATAATTTCGATCGATGCTCAATTAACTTTCAGCGTCAGCGTTAAGCCTGGTTTCCATATGATCGTCCGGATCGCCCCAGTCATGTCAAAAAAGTTTCGAAGACGATGTGGACGACTGGGACAATTGGTGGTTTCCATATGATCGTCTCGATCGCCTCAACGACAAGAGATGCGGGGTTGTCAGCGATGTCTCCGGGTCAGAAAATAGAACTTTTGCATGTGTTTCGCAAACAAGCCAACAACATAATGATGGATTTTAATTGGAGAGCGAACCTCGGGCCTTGCTGTTTACTGTTTCTTTTTATTTTGCGACATCGACAAGCTAGAGGAGTTCCACAAAGACATAGTATCATGTTGAGAACTTGATGTAGTGGACTTTCTCTAAGCGCCCATCATGCGATCATTTTGGATTATTTTTTTTTTACTTCAGCAGCGTCCTGGTCGAATTTATTCTTGATTACTGGAATAATAGTGATGATTTCTGGAATAGCCTTCGATCATCTCAGTCGTCTGAGAGCGTTTCCATATGATCGCTTTAAAGTTTACAGGATTGTCACGATCGTCCGGATAGAACTCAACTCTATCCAAGCGATTGAGGTCATCTCAGTCGTCCGGGTAGCGTTTCCATATGATTGTCGTGATCGTCTGAACATTAAATATTTGAGACGACTGGGACAATCATGTGGAAACCAGGCTTTACTGGACAGTAATGGTTGCTCTACTAAACATTTCATCATACAAGACCTGCTCATCCTAGCAACAGACGTGAGGAATTCACCTTGACTCTAAATAGCTGCAACAATGTACAGGAATGTGTATCTCTTCCCTTGTGTGAACACATATCCACCAGAATAATACGGCTACATAGCGCATGCTACTTCAGTCATTGTTTCAAAGAAACTGTTTTTTTTTTCAACGACTGCCTTCCCATCAGCTCCTTCACCTGATTCTACAAACCGACTGTGTCGTGAACATAGTGAACAGCGAGTCACCAGTTTTATAACACAATTAATTGACGTGAAACGTGTTGACATCAACGCTACTATCCAGGCCTATTTTAGAAGGATTTGTATTGATTCCTCAGAGCAAAAGGGTGCTTATATATCCCCATTAAGTAACACTAACAAGCTGATTTTTGGAAAGGGGCTTTATTCATAATTTTATTTCTGATCATGCCAAACAATCCCATAATTACACAAATTTGACGTCACACTTCTCTATTGTGTTACTTTTAGATGGGTTTATAAACAGACATTGATAACAAAAGATTACGTTCTTTAAAGATGGACAAAGCAGTTCTGTCAACCTTCAAAAGGGTTTATTGTTACATTCTCCTCTTTCTTTTTTTGTAATCGTTCAAAACTGCCAAGGCGTCGATTTTTAATTTAATTTATAATTGTAAGTTTAAAATGAAGTGTGTTGTTGTTGAAATGATGGCTGACACAAACCTCGCGTAGTCAATCAAACGATCAGTAATCTAACTCCAGTCGTTCGATTGACTTCGAATCGGTTCTGAAATCGAACATAATGGAACGTTCAAAATCGAAGGTTCAGTAATCGTTCATACAACCAGTTTCATCTGGTTTCAAACAAGGCATTTCGGTTAACAATTGCGTTATATGTTAGCTTCAATTTCAAACACGAGTACACAGGAAGCGATGGAAAGTGAACGGACTTTTCCTTCGAAAAATGGGGCGGTTTGTACGAATGAGGTGTCCGTATGTTAAGTAGGTGTCTGTAAAGCCGGGTTTGAAGAACGTCAATTTTTAAAGTGAGGAAGATGCTTGACCAAAGGGTCCGCTGTACCCCTTTGAAAAATCCTTTGGCGTAAAAATATTGAGACTTCTCATACGTCACGAATAGACCTATTCGGCTAACTCAATGTTGTACCCAATTCAAACCCTTTGGGAATAAACCCTTTGGGAATAAACCGTTTTGTTTCCGAAATTTCCATATCATTTAAATGAGAATGCCACATTATAGCGGAGCTCCACGCGCGCACATGGGCGAAGCCCCATTGCTAAGTAAATCTACCCATCCTTGAAAATTTGGTAATCACGTGACCGTACAGCGACCGACCGCCCGCCATCCGTCCGCACCACAGGAAAACCAATGTTTACTCTCACAATTTTAGCTAGTTTGGGAGCCCAAGAGAACACTAATTGCACAGGCTGGACATCAATGTTGTGATCAATTGACAGCTATCAAAACAGGGCATCCGCTGACCAGTATCACCTGACCGTACCGCGGGCTCAAGTGTCGACCCATCGAGGTCAAGTATTTTTTTAAAGTTATCTGCTGACAAATTACCAGTTTCAAATGATCGCAGGCTCAAGTTTATTTTTTCCAAGGATTCAAATCAAATATGTTGTGTTTATGTCACTATGGCCCCGCCCTATTAGGATTTTGATTTCAAACTGACCTCGGAAGCGAAAATTCATCCAGTTTTTTTAAAAGTACAGGCGGGGAAGACCTTATCTTACCATGGTCACGCGTTGGTCACGCTCTACGTCCAATTTTTATCCTCTGATTGGTCAAAATTTGACAGGTGAGTTTATGCGGAAAAATTATTCAGCATCTTGAAAGTAGTTTACTTTGAGAGCTGAAGCTGACAGCGTTTTGTGTCAACTTGTGATGTTTTTAACTGGTACAAAATGAAATACAGCTGCTATTAAGAGTCTTCTGTTATTCATGGCTGGTTTGTTTACTCGGTTTTGGTTGAGAAATGCGTCGCTTGTCAAAATTCGGTAATTCGATTTCGGAGGGCATCGTTTTCGTTTTTCACCTTGCTTTTATGCGTAAGAGGGTTTAAAAGTCTCAAGCAACTGTGGCCTCCCTTGCTAGCTTCCAGGAACTGAATCTCGAATGGTAAGCCTGAGTAATTATTGTATTTGATGTTTGTGTTTCATGAAGTCTTGCACAGTTCACGCTGACAGTTTATACGGCAAGTGTACATGCATGTTTGCAGGATTTGAGTCAATGATCTGACCTAGTATCAGGTTTGATATAAGCTTACAGAACTTTAAAAAGCCTTCATATATTTGCTCACCACAAATAGAAAGAAAACGTTCCGAAGAATATTTAGTTATAAATTTGGCTGTAGAAAGAAAACTTTGAGCGATTTTCTTGCTTCGAGGAGTTCACCTTCAAAGCAGTAAACACCACGCCGGGAAGCCGGCTAAAACATAAACTTAAGCTTTACGCTTAAAGACTCAGGATTTTTAGAGACACTTTATTACTTGTCTTCGTGAATGAAAATTGTTGTCTCTGTAAATGTTTCACGGAATTGTATCTCTTTTTTTGATTGTTAGTAGTCTCTATTGCAATTTTAATCGCTTGTCCGTGCCGTTTGTTTTCATCGTTCATGACCATCGCTTGCAGGAGTACTCAAAAATGTCGCGCGTATCAAACGCTTTATAAGATTACACATCGTTATAACTGAAACCATTACATAACAAAACAAATACTAATAAATTCGCTATTATGTTGAAGCGTAACTCTGTTAAAGTTCATTCAAACACTCGACCACACTGACAGCTTGCACTATAGAAACGAGAACCAGCTGGCCGTATGGGTGATTTTGGAAATTTTCTGAAATTTTTGAATGGTTTGGCTCGTCCTGAATATTGACTGAGTGCAATTTGTCTTGAAAAATTGTGAAATACCGCATTCTGTCCGAGCTCTGTATGATAAATAGTACTGTTTCACCTCAAATGTGGTGTATAAAAATTATAAAAGCTTGGTTTAAACACCCCCAGATTTGTTGGCAAGAATTTGTAAAGTAAACCTGTCGAACGCAAAAAAATTTGGCGTCATTTGCTTTCCAAGAATTTGTTTTCGAGGCCTAATTTACTGTGATCTTGAATGTGATCGAAGATGTTTGCTATTTTTTGGGTGTACATATAAGGTTATCAATTCGATGTAAGATGTTTCACTCTAAAATAACTTAGCCTTTTCCTCAAAAGTCACATGAATCTGCCCTTAAGTTAAATAATTTGTGGATTAAAAGTTTATTGTTTGATTTAAATTATAAATTTATTAAAATTGGAGCTTCGCTTTTAGCCCTGGCTAAATCTATATATTAATGCAAATACAATACACAAAGAATCTTAACCCCAGGAGATCTGAGATCTGAATTGGGTACAACATTGAGTTAGCCAAATAGGTCTATCACATGCCATTTGTCGACACTATCTTTCATCATGACATGGCATACGGTCCTCTCCAACCGAGACCATCAGCCTCGTAGACGAAAGGACCTACCCAGCCAATCAATAACCAGAGTTTGATACCATTACTCATTGGACAAAGCCAACACACCCCAAGGAATGAACGATGTGATACAATTCCCTCTTAAACTGAACTTAAACACTTCTGTACGCCGGAGACAAGAAAGACTTTCCCACCATGACAATCGCATAACGCTTTCCACTCTCCTTGCCATTGTAAACTTCTGCCCACAGTTTAAACTGTGACCTGGATCAAGTCGTCGATTCATTGGTTGCTAACATCAAAGCAAGGTTTTTTTTCATTCCAACATGAACTTTACACATCTGGATGTTGATCACCTTATATCCAGTGAATTATCTTCTTCTACTTCATATTTCATGCAGCTAATATCAAATCACTTATTGATTGCAGATTCCCAAAAGATGGCCAAGATCTCCTTTATTCTTATAGTGTACTAGCTATGACGCTAATCAGCTTTCAACACAGAGACGACTTGGTCAATTATGGATGCAAAGAAATTAAGCGGTTGACCACTCCAGAAAACACCTTAACATACTATTATGCTCTTTGTTTGTCACCCCAAATTGTGCATAAGCATTGTCTTCAGTTTCTCTTGGGAGTTAAAATGGCCCTAAGAGAAAAGAAAAACTGAAAAACTGAAACTGAACACAATGCTTACGCAAAATTTTGGGGTGACAAAAAAGAGCATTACGGTATTTTCTGGAGTGGTCAATTGCGCCAGTTCTGTAGGCATCCCAAGTCATATAGCTGGAACGACAGGACTTAAACAAAGGAAGCTATGCACCTGCAGTGATTGACCCTGTAAAATGCCAAAAAGAATGGCAAAGGTTGAAAACTGTTGTTTGCCATTAAACGAGTTTTGGTGCAGTCAGGAATTCCGTAAATATGTTGCTGCCTTATCTGGAGACTGGGGAGACTCGCATGATGTGCGGGCGTGTTTTCGAGTAGTCCGAGAACGTTATTCTCTCCGCCCTAAAATGTCAAGAAAAGAAAGTTAGGAAAGCAGTAATACACCTTCTGTCGTACGAAGAAAACGTAATGAAAGGTTTAGTAGCGGAAGCTCGCCCGAGCTACCTCCAACCAAGTCGGCGAAGCAGACTCTTGAAGAGTTAAGCAACAACGAGAACAAGAGTAACGTTTGGATAGTCCTAAACAAGATTCGTAGGAACACAGACGAACTTTTGGAAGAAAACCGTGCTATGAGAAGGCAATATGAAGAATTAAAGGAAGCTCGGAAAAATTTCCGTATAACCCCAAAAATTAATTAATCATTCGATCTCATTAATTATGTATCCCTGCTATTGTCTTCTAAAACAATAGCAAATTCCCCAGAGTATTGCATCTATACATCGGGAATGAATACTTACTGCGTTTTTTTTTACTCTCTCTCGCTCTTATTCCCCCTTTCTTTCCCCAGCCACTCTCTCCAGTGTTCCAGCAGTTTCTTTTTTCCCTTTTTCCTTGGCCATCAGTGAGATTTGAACCAACGCTCCTCTTTAGCTCTGGTGTTCCTGTCTGTCTACCATACCACTAGAGCACGATGATTTGTTGAGATTTACCGGATAAAAGAAGGATATCTTTTGGCATGTTCAAGTTCAAATATACATAACAATACAGCTGAAACATGAAGTCATGTATATTATTCAGGCTTTTGCTTGTAACATATCCACGAAATAATGCATCAATGCAGGCAATAAAACGCACGCAAACTTCAGAAACGCTCTTTCCCTGCATGTATTTCAATCGGCTATGGCTCACGAAATCAACTTTTTGAAGCTATCAAAAATTCTGGCGGATCACGACTGGTGCATAGAGTGGTGTAAGGAAAACAACCTACCCGCGTCATCATTGAAACGTCCTAGAGCTGGGTGCCCCAATGTACTCAGCTGGACTAGACAAGCTTCATCGCGACACGGGTACGAGTGGCGATGATCCAAGAGAGGGTGCAATGGGGCAGCATCAATGCCCCAGAAGTCATGGTTTTCTGGTAGCAGGCCATCCATTGAAAAAGTATTAGCCCTAATTTACCCTTGGGCGCACAAATTTATCACTACTCAAGCAGTGCATGAAACCTCTCTGGACGACGAAACAACTTCAACAGAAACGGTGATAGATTGGTATAACTATTGCCATGAATCATCATGAATCATAATGCGGGGCCAATAGGCAGACCTGGAAATACTGTTGAGCTTGACGAGTCTAAGTTTGAAAAGATGAAGTATCACCGAGGTCGAAAATCGAAGGGAAGTGGGTTTTTGATGGCCTTTGCCGCGAAACCAAGGCCTGCTTCCTTGTCCTGGTAGAGCGCAGGGATAAAGAAACTTTCTTACCCATTATTCGCACTCAAATATTGCCAGGTACACGCGTGATGAGCAACTTATGATTCAGTGGAGAGTTAGACCTTCCAATTTGTAGATTAAAACCAGGGCAACGATCATTTGCTTTTCGGGGTGCAAAGTTGTATAACAACCTCCCAAACGAGATAAGCATACTTCCGATGTTAAAAAGTTTAAGGCGAAAGTCTGTATTATTTGTTAAATTTGTAACTTTTAGTTTTTAGCATATTAGGATATATTCATGTAATTAGTTGTCAGTATTGATGGCGGAAGAGCCCTAGGCAGGGAGCTGTTCAAATAAAGAATGTATGTATGTATCTTATGACTGTCTAAAAGACGAGGGCTACGAACATCTCACGGTTGACCACAGCCAGAACTTCGTAGACCCAGGCACAGGTGCCCACACACAGGGCATCGAAAATACATGGTGGGGAGTGAAGCGAAGTTATCCATGTACAGGAACATCCAAAGAACTCTTCGAAAGCCACCTACCTACAGGAGTTTATGTGGCGTAAGCATTACGGAGAAAACCCCTTTAGAAACATATTGAGGCACATCACCGAACTTTATAACGTCGCAAATGACGTATAAACGGGTAAATATATACCACTCTATGCACCGTTCGTGATCTAAAACTATCGACATTAAGATATGGAACACTATCAACTATGGAAAGCATTCTCTAGATATCAAGGACCTCATATATGGTCGAAACTAGATATTAAATTGAAAGGCTCCTCGAATATTGAATCTTTCAAAAAGAACATTACGAAAAAAGACCTAACGTCACTCTCAAACAACAAAAATAGCTGCTGTAACCTTTGCAGTTCTTAGAGACTACCTGTTATATACCTATTGTTTTATTATACAATTTATACATGCTACATATTTTAATTGTATATGTACATTATTATTATTACTTCTTATTTGTAAATAACTTTTGTTTTTGTGTCCCCAATTAGTTGTGACAATTAAAGACATTGACACATTAATAAAGCTTTTACTTACTTTACTTGCTTACAGATGAGACGTACGACGCAGGTACCTCAGAAAATATTTCAGGGACAACAAAACTCTGACGAACACAGCTAAAAAGGTAGGACTTTATTTCATTTTGTTTAGCGTGTTAAATTCGCAGGTTAGTTTAGGGAATTTAATGCTCTGCGCTACGAAATATTTTGTTTTAGTTTGCCGAAAGGGACTTAATTATATAGTTAGGTTTACCAACGGAAAAAAATGTTCAAAATTTGTTTGAAAAAGTTTCGATTTTATTGCAAAAAGCGCCAAATTTAGGGCGTTTTAAAAAAACAAAAATTTTTATGATAATAGCTGAAATCCCAAAGGCTTAGTATTGTTCTTTCTTTTGTTTTCTTCTAACAATAGATGTATGCATAATTAATGTATGGGGTTATACGGGAAATGTTGCCGGAACCCCTAGACTTCAATAATGCCGAACTGACGTCTCTCAAAAAAGAAAATAAAGAGCTTAAAGATAAAGTGTTGTCACTTGCACAATCTCTCAGCAACATAAGAGCACATGTGGACATCCTCTATGAAGATCTTGGAACGGCGATAACCCAAGTAAATGATGTGCAACAGTATACAAGAAAACACAACTTAGAGATTCATGGAATCGCCGAAACTGCAGACGAAGATATCGCTGAAAATGTTAAGCTTCGAAAAGTCGTCAAAGTGCATATATCTCCCTCTGATATCGACATTTGTCACCAAATGGGACCTCGGAACAGCAGCGGTGCCAACCTATTATTGTTCGGTTTAAATCACATAAGAAAACTGCGCTGTACAAAGCTAGGAAACATCTAAAGTCAGTGAGTTTAAATCGGTATTTTCATGCTACAAACGTATATATGAATGAAAATCTTACATATTTAAGGCACAATTTGTTTGCTAAAGTTACAAAATTTAAGAAAGAGAATCATTGGCATAGTGCCTGGACTTTGGACGGCAAGATATTTATTACGAAGTCACAGGAAGAACAGCCAAAAATAATACCCGCTGAAGGAGATCTTACAAAAATTAGCTAATTTGGTCTTTTTCTTCTTTTTTTTTTCGCCTCGGTTACTAAACCTCGATGCTAATTTGCTCCCCAAAATAGGAAACACGTCTTTCCAATACTATTTAAATTTTCACTTTCTTCGCCTTACACCTTGCTACTTTTTTCAGTCTTAAATTTACATTCTGATATTTAAATAGCGGAGAGAATGGTAGGAGGGCATCACTTTTAGTTAATCGCGATTGAATGCTGTTTGGCATTAACCTTCCTATACAACAGGCTGTTCTACAGCTTAATTTATAAGCATTTTGTTACAAGGGCTAGAAATTTTTGTCAAAGTATTTCGCTTGTTATGTTTTGTCTTTTATTTTGCAATTGCTTTTCACCTTTGTGCATTGTAATTTGCATGTGCCAAAACACTAAACGGCAACTTTTTCTTGAGCCAAACACCATAACGATTTGCACAGGGTGGAACACAAACCCAAAAATGAATGCCTAAAGATACCAGAAACATACGTGCCTTAAGGCAGATTCAATGAACATAAGGGGCCTCAATAAATCAATTAAGCGGAGGAAGCTGTTTCGGTGGCTATATCTGAATAGATTTGATAGAATTTTCTTACAAGAAACCTATAGCGATCCTACCTTGGAGGATGTGTGGCGGGCAGACTGGGGTGGTGAAATCCTGTTTGCGCACGCTTCCAAACGCAGTAAGGGCGTAAAGATATTGTTTCGTCAACAGAACCGGAAATAAACTCGTGATTACAAACATTGATCTAGTTAAAGATTAAGGACATTGATTGACATTTTGAGATTACTAGATTTTATGCTGTTTTACACTGTATTCTGCTAACCGGTATTGCTCACTCTAACCAGTTTAAGGCTAACCCGTTTTAAGCTACGACCTGCCACAGAACTGAGTAAAGCATGATTGTGAAATTAGAGTTTCTAATTAAGGTATTTTTCAGTGAAATCATTGTTCTAGAGATTATAAGTAAGTTGCGTAACGACGAATTGTATTGCTCTGTTTCAGATGGAGTAATATAATTGCTTCAGTTGCTACAAATGTTAGTATCAATAAACATCAAGTGACTGATTATACGATATGCGGTGATCATTGGAACACGCAGTGTATGACTACGTAACACATTTTACTCGATTTCTGGGTTGAAAAGAAAGTACAGTTTGGCAACTATCTAAGCACCGCGGGAGAACCAAGCACATGGCAAAAAACGCAATTAAAAGCACAAAGCTGGACAGGAGGACTGCGAAGGCAACCCTCACAAGATGTAGGAAAGCGTTGTCCAAACAAATTGAAGTTAAACGACCTGGCATAGAGGTAAAGGACGCATTAACTAACCTTCAAAATGCATTTGATGACCTTGTGGTGAAACGCGAGAACTATTCAAAATTAATTGAAGACGATGAAGAGTTCGAAATTCAGGAACGTTGGATGGAAGAATGTCAGGAAATTTTCATGGACACCGAAATTCAAGCAAAGATTTATCTGGACAACTTAGTTACTAAGGGAAAGGGACCACTGAAAACCGGCTTTGCAGGGAAAAACACAAGAAGCGCAAAACCAGAAGCTAGTGTTAGCAGAATTTCAAGCATGCAATCATTTGTGACCTTGTTGAAAAAGTGCAAGGGCTAAGCAATGACATTGATAGCGTGCTGGCTAAAGGAGACTTCAGTGCTAAAGGTTGGATTTCGAACAAAGATATGTCAAAGGGGAACGAAAAGGAGAAGATTTCAGATGTAACGCAAGTATTCAAAGGAGGAGCAGAAGTAGACAAGGTTCTAAGAGTTGTATGGAACCACAGAACTGACGAGCTTCGTTTTAAAGTGAGGCCAGAATTGATAAAGGTATCAGATGTTACAGATCAAAGCGCAGCCACGTTGACCAAGCGGATGATACTGAGTAAAGTCGCTCATATTTACGATCCTATCGGGCTAGCTTCTGCATTTCTCATCAGAGCAAAGATTGGGATCCAGCACCTATGGCAGTTAGGAATCGGTTGGGACCAGGAGCTCCAACCCGCAATTCAAGACTCTTCCAAGAGATGACGAAACTTAATGAAGTGTCCTTCCCGAGAGGTCTGTTTACCATCAGAGCCAATGAGGACGCAACACTGTGCATTTTCTCTGATGCATCACGAGAGGCCTTCGGATCTTGCACCTACATCCGGCAAAAGGGAGAGAACAATAAGTATGAAGTCGAGCTCAAAGCGGCCAAGTCCAGAGTGGTGCTACTAAAACAGGCAACCATCCCACGCCTAGAGCTTTAAGCTGCCGTACTTCCATCTTGTCTAGCGAAGACAACTCAAGAGGAGTCGAGAATTAAATTCAGTGATGTCATGTTCTTCATGGATAGCACAATTGTGTTAGCATGGATTCGCAGTACGTCTTGAAACTTTAAACCTTTTGTATCCTCTAGAGTCGGTGAGATACAAAGTAGCTCTGACCCAATTCAGTGGCTACACATTCCAGGAGAATTCAATGTAGCAGATGACGTTTTGAGGGGGATACCTGTGCAGGATTTAAACAAGAGATGGTCCAATGGACCAGAGTTTCTCCGACTACCCGAATCAGAATGGCCTCGGGAAACAGCTCCAGTAAGTTTAAAAAGAAGGGAGATGGGATATCGCCAAGAGAAGATTGTTGGTACAGTGACCACTCCCAACAGTGGCAAAACAATTCACCCCCAGAGATTTTCCAGCTTGAGAAGACTGATCAGAGTAACTGCACCTATCCAAAGACTGGCTTGGAGGATTCGAGCAAGATGCAGTGGGGGACAACGGCAATATGGTCCTCTTACCCTCAGTGAATTACAAGAGGCTGAAGCTCTATGGCTTGCAGAGGCACAGAAGAGTCTACACAGACGAATGGAGAAGAAAGAATTTGACGCTCTCAGCCCTTTCATCGACAACAAAGGAGTGATCAGAGTTGGAGGTAGAGTCGACAATGGTGTAGTGTCATATGACTCAAGACACCCTGCTCTTCTGCCCTACGAGCACAGTATTTCATTGTTGATAACAAGACACATGCCCCAATGTGGACACGCTGGAGTGGCAAGCACGACTGTCAAGATCAGAGCAAGATACTGGATACTGAAGGCCAGCAAACTCGCCAAGTCCGTCAAATTTAAGTGCGCATTTTGCCGAGAAATGGCACGAAGAGTTGAAACTCAAAAGATGGCAGATCTCCCCTCAGTTCGTTTGGCACCTTTAACTCCACCATTTCACTACACAGCGTGTGACTATTTTGGACCCTTTCAGGTCAAGGTCGGACGAAACAAGACTGCAAAGCACTACGGAGTGATTTTTACATGTTTAAATACCTGAGCTGTTCATGTTGAAATGGCAGTTGACTCCTTCTGGAAACGATGGAAGAGAGATGTGTTTCCCACACTTGTCCCCAGGAGAAAGTGGCGCATAGAACAAAACGTCAGGATTGATGATGTCGTGACAGTGACAGATGAGAATGCTGTTGGAGGCTCATGGACTATGGGCAGGATTGTACACGTATTTCCAGGAGCTGATGGGAAAGTAGGTAACGTCAAGGTGAAAAAGGCCAAGGGAGTTTACAGCCTTCCCGTGACAAAGATTGCAGTCATCTACCCAGCAGAGGGATACAATTAAAGTGGATTAGGTGATAAGGACTGCACCCTTATCGGGGTGGAGGATGTTTCGTTAACAGAACCGCAAATAAACTCGTAATTACAAACATTTATTTAGTTTAAGATTAGAACATTGATCGATATTTTGAGATTACTAGATTTTATGCTGTTTTACACTCTGTCGGGTTTCAATCAGAAGTATTTTGCTAACCAGTATTGCTCACCAGTACAAGAGATTCAAGCTAACCAGTTTTAAGCTACGACCCACCACAGAAGTGAGTAAATCATGATCGTGAAATTAGAGATTCTAATTGAGGTATTTTTCAGTGAAATCATTGTCCTACAGATTATAAGTAAGTTGGGTAACGACGAATTGTATTGCTTTGTTTCAGATGGAATAATATAATTGTTTCAGTTGTTACAAATGTTAGTATCAATAAAGATCACGTGATTGATTATACGATATGTGGTGGTCACTAGAATACGCAGTGTATGACTACGTAAAACAGATATTGTTTAAGCCTTCCGTAAACGTTGATATTCTGGAAATCACTGTTGACAAAAATGGACATTTTCTCGTCGCAAACATAGATATTAATCAAGATAATTTGTGTCTAGTCAATATTTATGGTCCCAATGACCAAAACCAGCAAGTTAACTTTTTTGACAAAATCATCGATCCCATTCGCCTTAGTAGTACTAACAACATTCTACAAGGTGGTGACTTAAACTGTCATTTGACAGAGGTCGATAAAGTAGGTGGTAGGGACATACTCCATAGCAAAAGGACCATTAAAAGCAATCCAGGAACTTTGTAACAGCTTTGACTTAGTTGACGTCTGGAGAACTCAACACCCAAATAAGAAGCGTTATTCTTGGGCAAATGGCTCAGGAAAGATTAAATGTTGACTAGATTTCTGGCTAATTTCGAAACAATTACTAACACACGTTACTGGAATGGATATCAGCGCTTTTTATGACTCAGATCACTCGCCTGTCATCATCTCGTTGACACCAGAAGACCAAGTACCTAGAGGACCAGGGTTTTGGAAGTTTAATAATTCTCTTCTTGAGGACGAAGAATTCGTTACAAAATTGAAGTTTTCGCTCCTAAATGGTAAAGAAAACTACAGGGAAGTTGATAAAAGGCTTTTTTGGGAAATCATAAAAATGGAAACAAGGATCTTCTCCATTCGATTTGCTAAAAGAAAAGCTAAGGAAAAAAGAGATGGAATCTGAACTCCTCCGAAAACTCCCAAGATCTAAATGCTCGTATTGATGCTGCTCCAGAAGGAAATCCTCTAGCGAACAAGGCAAAAAAAGCAAAGATTAAATTAGATCAGATGGCCAAGGAGAAAACCAGAGGTTGTATTGTCAAAAGGCCAGCTCGATGGTATGAATCAGGAGAAAAATGTAATAAACATTTTCTCAACCTATCCAAAAGAAATTAAAACAAAAGACACAAAAAAATTGAAATCCTCGGCAGGGTCTACAATAGAAGACTTGAAAACTATCTTGAATGAAATGAAGAATTACTACCAACAATTATATACTTCCCAAGACCAAACCTCCCCTGACCAGCTATCAGACTTTCTTAATTCTGGACCTTTACCAAGACTAGACGATGTCTCACAAAGCCTTTGAGAAGGTTCGATTACTGAAGCAGAATGCTCATCTGCCATAAAGCTTTTCAACGTAACAAGACCCCGGAACAGACTGTCTAACAGCGGAATTCTATCTCTGTTTTTGGAAGGAGATTTCTTGCCCTTTAATTGACTGTCTCAATCACAGGGCTCTAAAAGGGGAACTGTCCCTCTCTTAGAGACAAGGAATTATTTCGCTAATCCCAAAAAAGGATAAGGTCCTATTGTCTCTTACAAATTGGCGTCCCATTTCGCTTTTAAATACAGATTACAAAATTGCTACTTAATGCATTGCTAATCGGCTGGAGAAAGTTCTTCCGCTCCTTATACGAAATAATCAAACAGGATAAATTGGTAATTGTGAAGAAGACCTCCCCAAAAAACCTGTCGGTCGACTGTCGGCCGTCTGTCAACCGACAGTCGGCCGTGTGTCGACCAACAGTCGGCCGACACTGTGTGATAATTTTGTTAAGCGGCACGCGCGCGTCTAAATCAATTATCGCGGCACGCATCCAAGTCAAATTATCGGATTATGACAGATACTAATTAATTAAGGCACAATTCGAGGGTACATAATTCAATTTATTTGTGCTTGAAATTCGGAAGATTAACATTAAGTCATCGAAAGACTAATAGGTCTGAATCTGCAAAAGTAGAAAACTTTGTTAGTCAAAAGGTAAACATCATTGATACATACATGACATACAGCGCTCGCTAGGCATTGTTGGGCGATTTGTACGTGAAGCCAAGCAACACGACTGAGAAGCTTCCAAAGTAGCTTTCTTGTAGGATTTCAGAGATTGGGATTAAATCACCTCTAAATCTGATTTCATTGATTGCCTTGTTGTCTTTCGCGAATAATATATCGGTTTCGCATTTCAAAAGCTTTCTATAAACATGTCGGAAGAAATCGTTTTACCATCAATCGGTAAGTAAGTGATGTCTATCGAGATTATTAACATGATATTAATTTGAGGAGGACTCGGAAAAAAAATCCGAGTCCCAGATGGGATTTGAACCCACGACCCTCCGTGATCTAGTCGGATGCTCTAACCACTTGAGCTACTGGAGACTCTATGGTGAGCAAGGGCCAATTTGTGGGTCTCGACTGGAACCGCATCACGCGGCTACACAGCCAAGTAATGACAGGTACACAAGAAGTGAAGAACTCACTAACAGCATCGCGCTGTCACCTTAAGCATGTCCAAGATGCGGCCAACCAACCTCCAAAGTGAGTATATTAAAGATCGTTTCTATGTCATGTTTAATGCGTGTTTTCTCAACAATTTTCTTCTTTGGGAAACTGTCGGTAGCCTGTCGGTAGCCTGTCGGTTAGCTGTCGGTAGCCTGTCGGTAAACTGTCGGTAATGTGTCAGCCGACAGTTGACTGACAGGTTTTTTGGGGAGCTCTTCTTCACAATTACCGATAAATTAAGGGCAGATTCATTGGCGAAAACATGATGATCCGTCTTATTTCTGATACTATCGCACAACATGAAAATGACCAAGGAATGATTTTCTTTCTGGATTTTGAAAAAGCGTTGGACTCATTAGAATGGGACTAACTCTTCAGGGTGTTAGAGGAAATGAACTTTTTGGCCCAAGTTTTCGTAACTGGGTCCACACAGTTTATCATAATATCTCTAGGTGCATTGTAGACAATGGACACGCTTCGGAAATTCATCCCCTAAAAAGGGGAGTGAGACAAGCGTGCCCGCTTTCTGGGATGCTTTTTATTCTTGCTGTAGAACCTCTTGCTATTAAGATCAGAACAAGCAAATCGATGAAAGGTCTTAAAAAAGGAAACAAAGAATCTAAAGTCAGCTTATATGCCGATGATACCACTACTTTGATTCACGACGACTCATCTGCAGTAGCCCTTTTTGCTTTGCTTGATCGATTCAGTACGCTCTTCGGTCTGAAAATAAATAAGTTGAAAACTGAAGGGCTATGGCTGGGATTGTGGAAAAACAGATTAGGTAAAGACGAGCCTTTTGGAATTTCCTGGCCAAAGCAATACGTGTCCTCCCTCAGCATAGTTTTGCTTATGAAATGCACGTTGGCGAGAAAATCAACGTTGATGAACGGCTTGTTAAAATGAAAAAGGTGTTAAATCTTTGGTCAGGTCGGCGCTTGTCAATCCTGGGGCGAATTGCTTTTGTCAAAACAATAGCACTGTCTAAACTTGTTTATAATAGCTCTGTACTTGATATTCTGACCGATTTTGCCAGAGAAGTTAATAAGGTCATTTTCCCTTTCATATGGAACTTTAAACCTGATAAAATCGAAAGAAACACACTGACAGGCCCAATCTCCAAAGGTGGCCTTAACATGGTCAATATCGCGGATGTAGAAAAGCCTCTTTAAGCTGCCTTGGTAAATCGCTATTGTTCATCGGATAGTCCTCATTGGTGTGCGTTTCTTGACTCTCATCTTGAAAAATTCGGAGGCTCTTTTTTGTTTCGGTGTAATTGCGATTTGAAATTCTTAGATCTAGAAGGTCTCCCTCTCTTTTATAGGAACATTTTGAAGGACTGGCAGATCCTTCATTCCAAGGTACCCCTTAGTGTTAATGAAATTAAAGAGGAAATACTTTGGAATAACCGCTTTATTAAGATCGGTGGAAAGACAGTTTTTTATAAAGCATTGGTCAGTAAAGGCATTTTAAGAATCAAAGATATCCTCAATGCTCACGATAACTTCCTGTCTTTCCACGACCTTAAAGATACTTTTCACATTCGTGGTACCTTTCTTGATTACGGCGGTCTTCTGGCCATGATTCCTAAAGATTGGAAAAATGCTATCTTACATGGCAATCAGGAACACACCAATGAACCAAAGGTATCACAACTAACCGTTGCAAATGTTTCAGCAAAATATGCTTGACTAATGTTTGCTGAGAAATCTTTCTGCCCTCCATTAACTGAATCCTATTTAAGAGAACAAACATTCACTCCTAGTGCCGTATATGAGCTTCCATTCAAAATCACCATTGAAATTAAGCTAAGAAGTTTTCAGTTCAAACTCATCCACAATATTCTCTTGACCAACCAACGCCTTTAAAAAATGAACGTCAAATCTTCTCCAAAATGCGAACAATGTGATGCTCCTTGTGAAACTATTAGCCATATATTTATGAGTGTCCTGCGGTAAAAAGTTTTTGGGAAAAAGTCATAGATTGGTGGAATCGTAAACGTTCTGAAAACATAAATCCCAATCCAACGGAAGTTCTTTATGGATACAAACCTGAATCTAACAGCTTTCACACTTTTAACTATCATCTCTTAATTGCTAGATATTACGTTTACTTAGCTAGAAACAAGTTTGAGACCCCAGAGCTGGAAATTTTCATTGTTCTCCTGGAAATTAACATCCAGTGCAAAAGAGAAATTGAAATAACAAACAGAAACCATAACAAATACAGAAATAAGTGGACCACGCTGTGCATTCCTGATTAGTGTTGGATTTATAGTAATTTAGCAAACATTTTTCTATTTGTTCTGCTTGTTGTTGTTAATTCGTTGAATCTTCGTATTTCGCTTTGTTTTGTTTGTTTGTGTTCTTACTTATTTATTTTTTTACTGTTTCGCCTCCTTTTTATTTGCTGCCCTGTTATTGTAAAGTTTGTTTTAATGTTATGTTAAATGATGTTTAATAAATAAATTATTAAAAAAAATAGTTGCTACCTTATTTAAAACCACTCACTTCACCCCAGTGCAGAAAACGGTGGCTGTTAAGATTGGAATGAAGATACACCTGTAATTCTTGAAACACCTGTCGGAGTCCATTAGAGATGACTAGAAAAATGAAGCTGTAGAATTCAACGTCGAAGAAATGTCTGCAGTGGGAAGATCAAAAGCGCGTTACGTTGGAGGCTGGGCAATAAGAAAAATATTGGAAAATTTCGTTAAGGGCAACATTTACAGAGAAAATAAGAAAACCTTACAGAAAGTCCATCGACACCATCGCATGTGCGAACTTTTGGAAGAAAAAGGCATGGTACCATTTGCAAAATAATCAGAGAGTACAAAAGGAGGCCGAAACCCTCGATGTGACAGAAGCAAGGCAGTATTGAGAGCGAAGCCTTATTCATATCAGTGACAACGCCTATCGCTTTTTCATGGCCATGGAGAGTGAGCATCTCAAGTTAATAAACAACCATAAGTTAAAAGAACTAAAAGAAGATTTGATTAAGGTGGCGAAGTGCACAATGAAGAACAACCACGAGCTCAAAGCAAAGTGGCTTGCCTGTTTTTACTAGACGAAAGACCAGCACGCGAGGTAATTTATTTCCAATCAAGTAGTAATTGCGACGGTATTTCTAAAGGTGAAGCGAGCTTTACTTTCACATTAAAACAACTTTACTGGTTTTTCTATGTTCAGTATAAATTATCACATTTCGACTGAGCTAGAAGTGCGTCATATGTAAAACGGGCAAAGAGACTATGCCACGGTTTCTTGGTTGGTTTATTGCAAGCCCTAGTTGCAAGCACCTCCTACCGAGGGATTTGAACTGTGCAATAGAAAGAAGCCTCTTATGAGACTGTGGCACTCTACCCGGAATTGAACTTGAATTAACTTTTACACTCACAGCTCTTAGAAGTGGGGGAGGCACCGGTTACACCAGTTTTTTGTGGATTTAATCAACTTTTTGAGTGGTATAAATTAGCGCAGATGATGTCATGCACCCATTAAGATAGGATGATGTCATAGTTTATTTGAAGCTGGGAAGGAGCATATGACGTCAGAATTTCCTAGAGTTGACTTCATCGAAAAATTTTGAGATCATAATCTATAAATAGAAAAGTGATATCATGTCCTTACTTGGTCATGATGTCATATTTATTCAGGTATGATGATATCATGGTTTACTTTTACCTGCCTTTTTTTCTATTGTTCCGAAACACGTAAAATGGCCCTTCCTTACCAAGCGCGTCATTCAGAAATTGTCAGAAGAAGTCATGAATTTCAATCACTTTGCCACTTTCGATTTTGACATTCCCCCGGAAATTTTTGAACCATGGGACAATGAGTATGAAAAACTACCACAGGTATGTGCTCTCTGTATTTTGAATGAATGTTCTCTCTCCCTCTGGTCAAGTGTTATTTCCAACTTAACCAATTGCTACTTTTTAGGGTACTGGGCGGCCTCACTTAAACAAAATACAGAGTGGAGCGGGCAGGAAACGACTAGCAGAGGTAGTTTTTGTAGTACTTTAGGTACCTTCCAGATTTTGGTTTTGGGTTGTGCGACATACTTTATTTATAACCACGAAGAGCTCAGGAGCCGTAGCTCGTTAAATCTCCCTCATGAAATAAAATGGTCCAAAAACACAAACAGATAAAAACATGAAAATTAAGAAACTATAAAGACAAAACGCGAAATACATAAATTTAGCAGTAGTTAAATGGTTTTTGCACCTTTACAATAATATTGAGCAGAAAGAGCTACAAAAGTTACCTTAAGATAGATTCGATTCAGATGAATAGTCTAAATGAAGTCAGATTTTAAACTTGATGGAGTTAAAAAATATTTTTACAAAAACAACTTATGGTGTATAAATGAAGGAATTATGAAACCATGCTGTTGAAAGACTTTGTTGACGTAATTTAGAGCCAGAGCACGTAAATAATACTTGTCACACTGCATCATTTAAACAGGTTTGTAAATCCGTTGGTAAATACAACTTATAATTTTACAGGATGAAGTAGACTCTACTCCTTCTAAAATGCTACGCTATCCAATTCTTGAAAAGCGAAACGAATGTTCCCCCTGTGGGCGAAAATTTAATCGAATAGATGCCTTAAAATGGCATGTGAGACCAGTTCATGAACGCCAAGCGGCTCAGTGGAAATACATATGTAATACCTGTGGTGAAGTTTTTCAAAATCTGGGTCCATTTCGAGCACATGGAAAATCAGCACACAGTAAACCTTCTACGTCTGCCAATCGTCCGTGCCAAGACGACTCAGATAGGAAGACTCTTTTGCAATAACAAAATAACATTTTGTGTGAATGATAAGTGCTATGTAAATTTCCTTTGCAACACTTAACAGAAAGTAGGATATGTTGAAAAAGTGCTTTATTGGCCTTTGTTTACAGTAGTACCTTACTGATTATAATAGAGGTCACACATTGTTAAACACTTCTTTTGTCCTTAAAACTGTAAGGTCCGATATCTGGGACATTTGAAAGAGGACATATCGTGTGGCTTACATCGACATTGTTCCCCTTTACTAGTATATACCGCGGTAAGGTTCGGGGTCACAAAATAATTTCAGGGTGACAAATGGAGGTTTCAAACACAACGTATTTACCGGTAAATAAAAGCCGCTGATTGCAAATGTATTTTTCAATCGGAAACTAACCTATAAATACAGAAGCTACAAACTGATAGTATTTCAGTCGATTTAGACAAGTCATTGTAGATATATTGCAGACTGAAGAAAGCAGATTTCTGGTATTTTGAAGTGGAAACAGCCACTTGGTTTTTGAATTTTTTTTTTGACGAAAAAAAGGTTTATCTGCTTTTCATCTCCATGAAATTTTCCTTGTGGAGAATGTCTACTCTGAGATATGATTTAGACCAAGGGTTAAATCAGAGGGGTTTTCTAAAAATAATAATAATAATAATAATGATAATTTAATTGTACATTAGCAGCCCATGTTTCTCGCGTCAAAAAATGCGACTTTGGAAAATGTCCGGGGTAACTGCAGAAAATTGCTTATTACAATTATGTCTGATTTTCCATATATTCCGTGCGAGTGTCACCATTTTGTTTTGTAATCGGAGTTGAATTTTCCGTAATTTTGGTGGTGGTAAGCTCACGATAAATGAAATAAAGAGAAACTGTATTTTGAAAACATTAGAGATATTCTATTTACACATCCTTTATTTTCCTTCAGAGCGAAAAACCAAGAACACAAAGTCAACCCCTATCGATAAAAAGCAGTCAACTCCAAGTTCTAGTTGGCAGTAAGAGCCAAGATCTATCACCGATCTCTTTGAAGCGCAACAAAGTCTCGTTCCCGAATACTGCAACCACTTGCATCAAATACGCACTAGTTTTAGCTGCAAAAATCGTACTTTGGACTGCTACAATTTCCACCAACCTCAAGAACTTATCACTCATTTGAATAACATTTTTACTGACCAGTCCACGGTGTTTAAGCTGAATGTGTCTTTTGGTTTCATTCTATGCAACAAAGAGACTAGAGCACTTCAATATTATTATGCCTCCAGAAAAAATGAACAAGTCTTTGAAGAACCCTTTCAAATTACCACCGCAGCTGACCTTCAGCAAGTTCATGAAGCATTGTTAAACCTTAACGTGTTGGAATGGGTATGCCAGTGACGCCCCAACTCCAAATGGGTCGTAGAACAGGTGACCAATATCACTTTCTTCGTCACCAAGCTACGAGGTCATCCTATAGGGAGAGGTACTTACTTGCCTTCCTATCTGGCCAAGAACCATGGTTTGGTCGCCTTGGATCGCAACTGCAATAATGGAAAAGTCTACAGCGACAATTTGTGCTTTTTTCGGGCTTTGGCACTCCACAATGGTTGTCACCCAAAGAATCTAGAGAGGGATGCACAGCATTACTATGAGTGATATAGAGAATTTTCCCCTGAGAAAAATAAGTTTTTTGGTGTGAAGCTGAAAGAACTTACTGATCTGGAACACACATTTCTGTCTATTCCCTTGAAGCCACCAAGCCCGATGGAGAAGAGGGAGATGAAGACAATACTGAAGAAGAAAATACAGTACCAGACATTGCTGCACAATTGGTTCACAGCTCCCTTCGCCACTACCCAAGTACTCTTTACTTCAACCTGTACCAGAATCACTTTTCCTGTATCAACGATATCAAGAAGTATCCCAAGTCCTACAGCTGCTCGCGATGTGTAACATTGTGGAAACATGTTGGCATGTTTAATCATCACGAGTGAACCCGTGAAGCAAAAGTGCATTACCGGTTTCCAGGAGGTGCTTACAAGACTCCACCGACCATCTTTCAGTTGCTAGAAGACGAAGGATTGATCATTCCTGATCATCTCAAGATCTTCCCCTACAGAGCTACCTTTGACTTCAAGTGTATGTTTACAGCCGAGACGGAACTTCACAATACAGAAAAACTGACGTGGAATTCTAAACATATACCCCTCAGTGTGAGTGTCTGCTCCAACGTTCCAGACTACGACCAACCCAAGTGCTTTGCGTCCGATGGAGACTCCAAACAGCTCGTCAAAGAGATGCTGGACTATCTAGTCAAAATCAGTGAAGAAAGTTGTCATCTTATGAAGCAAGAGTTAAATTTCCTTTTTGAAGCCATTGACCAAAAGCTGCAAGACTTACAGCAAAAATCAGAAAGTTGTGAACCTTCCAAAGACAAGACAGTAGACGACAACACCCAAGAGGATAGCAATGATGAAGGAGAAGATCTCATGGACACAGATGACGAAGAAGAAGAAATCGAATCTGAAACCGAGGAAGATCGTGTCTTTATTGATGATGACCTAGAAGAACAAGGTGCCTCGTTTTACAGGGCCTTAGATCGAGAACAAGAGGATCAGAGTGAGAATGATCACGAGTGTGCCTATGACAAACCAGAGGACAACAGCCCAGAACCTAAGAAGAAAAAAGTGCACCCTTTAGAGAAAGTATCGTTTCCAAAAATACCTACAAGAACTTCCTGCCCTTGGCTTCAATTCTGGTAAATATGACTTGAATGCTGTCCTAGTCCAGAGTGAAGGCGTTCATTTTACTATCAAACGTAACCATAATTTCATGTGCCTAAGGACTCCACATCTCCGCTTTCTTGATGTCACCAACTTTCTTGCTCCCGGTTTCAGCTACGACAAGTTTCTAAAAGCGTACGAGTGTCCTCAAACCAAGGGGTTCTTTCCTTATGAATGGCTGGATTCTCTGGAGAAATTAGAACACACTTCCCTTCCACCTCACCAAGCCTTCTTTTCTACTTAAAAAAACAAGAACATTTCTGATGAAGACTACCAGTACTGCCAACAAGTCTGGTCGAACAATAATATGCAGACTTTTCGAGAATTTCTCATCTGGTACAACAACCTAGATGTCCAGCCCTTTTGTGAGGCCCTGCAAAAAATGTGCGCCTTCTGGAAAAATAAAAAGATCGACATGCTAAGACAAGGTATTTTCAATCCCGGTGTTACCTTGACGTACCTCTTTACCACCCTGGAATCTGGCATCTTCTCTCTGTTTGACGAAAAAAACAAAGATCTGTAGTGGGTGGCCCTAGTATCATCTTTCATCAATACCACGAGGCGGGAAAAACCAAAATCAGAGAAATGGAAGATCAAGGAAAACAAGCAAAAGCCTGTCAAAAGATTGTTGGATACGATGCCAATGCTTTAATATATCTAAGGGCCATCATGCAAGACATGCCCACCGGATCATTTACAAGATGCCGAGAGGAAACTGGCTTCAAGAGAGGAAGTTCTTCCAGGATGGCAACCGAGTGGTTAGAGTGGAAGGCACATAAAGGAGGAATTTTTATACGCCACCAGATGAATACAGAAAAACGCATTGGTGAAAGAAAAACACCAGTGAATGGTTTTCACGGTCCTTCGCAAACAGTGTTTCAGTTCCATGGCTGCTGGTGGAATGGACATATTTGTCATCTTACTAAAGGAAAAGAAATGAACGAAAAGAGAAAAAGACCAATGACGGAGTTACTAGAAGAAACCAAAGCAACCTCCAAGTACATCAAGGATCAGGGGTGCCATCTTGTGGAAATCTACGAGTGCCAGTGGCGTTGAATTAAGAAAACCAACCCACAAGTTCAGCAGTTTCTAAACTCCAAGTTTAACCGCCCTCTTGATCATCACAAGACTCTGACACAAGACCAGATCTTAAGCGCTATTAGAAGCGAGTCCCTCTTTAGAGTGGTCGAGTGTGACGTGCGAGTACCTGATGCACTAAAACCCAAGGTTGCAGAAATGTGTCCCATTTTCAAAAACATAGAAATTTCAAGAGAAGATATTGGTCAGCACATGCAAACCTTTGCTGAGGAAGAGAACATCATGTCACAACCTCGAAGAAGTCTCGTTAGTAGCTATTTTGGTGAGAAGATCTTATTGGCTTCCCCACTCATTAAGTGGTACTTGGAGCATGGTCTGGAAGTTACCCACATTTATCAAGTAGTAGAGTATACACCCGTTCCCTGCTTTCAACCCTTTGGAGAAGCCGTATCGGATGCCAGACGGGCTGGAGATGTAGACCCAAACAAAGCCATCATTGCAGACACTATGAAATTGGTAAGTTGTTCTCCTATTGAGGTAAAGGAGGAGGAAATACGTTTTAAGGTACAAAAAACTCATATCAATGTTGTTGTTTTTTCAAAGGTGAGGAACTCGAGTTATGGAAAGACGATAACCGATCAAGAACACCACCGAGAAGTTCAGATTTGTTTAGAAACTAAAGCGCCTCAACTAATAAACAAACCCTTCTTTAGACAGACTCACCAGATTGAAGAAAATACGTTTGAAGTGCAATCTTGTAAGAAAAAAATCAAGGTTGAACCTTCCCATGCAGGTAGGTTTAGTCGTTTATCAATACGCTAAACTTAGAATGCTTCAGTTTTATTTTGATTTCATGGATAAGTACCTTGATTGTAGCGATTTTAAGTACTGTGAAATGGACACCGACACTCCAGAACACAAAGCTTGTGACAAAAGAACACCAGTTATATTTAAGGAAGAGTGGTCAGGGGCAGGAATAATTGGTCTAAGTAGCAAGACCTACTGTTGCTTTGGGGCCTATGATAAGTTCAGTTGTAAGGGGGTCAACAGGAAAACAAACGACATTAACAAAGAAAAATATCTTAATGTTCTGTTGACGAAACAGAGTTGCGCAGGATTAAATAAAGGTTTTCGGGTTGTCAACAATAGCATGTATACTTATGAACAAGTTCGAGATGGGTTTTCCTACTTTTACCCGAAAAGAAAAGTGTTGGAGGATAAAGTTACGACTATGCCACTCTATATACAAAATTGTGATTTAAACGGATTGCTGTATTCAAAAAAATGAGAATGAAAAATTGTAACGTGTGTGATTCATAAATAAAACACTTTATAAGAAATACGTTTCTTGTCACCATTCGTGACTGACAAAACTTTAATCCAAAGTACTGCTCTTGGGCTGTTGAGCCGCCATTAGAGTACTCTTTCATAACATACGGCATGAGGGGGTATGCTGGGTCCCCTAGACGTTTACATGCAGGTATTGTCCCATCCTTTAAGAAACTATTTATATTTAAGTTAGAGAAGACCCTGGCATCATGTGCACTCCCAGGCCATTTCACTGCAACATCCATGAAGTAAAATTTATAATCACAGGTGGCTTGAACGTTCAAAAAATATCGTCCCTTTCTATTGATGTAATCGGTAGAGTTGCCTGTTGGTTGTTTTATTTCGATGTGTGTGCCATCTATTGCACCCAAACACCGACGGAAGCCATGTGTTCTATTGAAGTGTTTCAGTAGATCTATTACTTCAATTTCAGTTTTTGGCAGATGTATATACTTATTTCCAGGGTGTAAACTGATGCCTTTGCATACTTTACGTATTATTTTAGAAGTTACCTGTCTTGAAACTCCAAAAGCATTGGCTGTCTTTCGAAGTCGACCTTCGTCGCTCAAGTAATATAGAGTTGAGGCAACTTGCTTCACAACATCCACAGAAGAACGCATGATGGTCTCTTTTCCCTCAATGTACAGTCTCAACTCTTCTGCTAGCTTCAGCAATGACGCTTTAGACATTCTAAAATTCTCTCTCCATTTTTCTTTGATCATTGTGCCATTGATAAAATTGTCCCACCATGCGCTTGTCCTTCCTGGTCGCGTCCAAAATCGCCTTCGGTGATGGTTCGCTCATTTTTTGACTTTATGATGCCCACTGTTCATTGATAACAATCTCAAAACATCCTGTCGATCTCTAATGTATTGGTTGTGTAAATTTATAACAGCTGCATTTATCTGAATGCATAATATCAAACTAGAAATCACAGCAACTAACACAGAAGCTACAACCTTGCTGTACGCCATGTTTGTTTATAATGCTTGTCATGAAGACTGGATTCAAGAGAATGACGAAAACGTATTCGAAAATTTCCGGATACGACCGTCCACACGTATACGTATGGCATCAAAAAATTTCCACTCTGGAGAGTGTTTTCAAAAATTTCCGGATACGGCCGGAAAATACGCTGGATACGTGTGGACGATGCCTTAAAGTCATATACAGTAGGTTATTTAGATATTTAATTGCACACTTAGCTTTCGAAATTAACTTATAGTTTATGTAATTTTAATTGTTTAGGGGCGGGAGTCATTCGGACTACCCACACGTGCCCGGATGTAAAAAGGATAATAAGTAAAAATATCAGAATTGCATAACAGTCCAAGTAGGTTTACTAATATTCGCTATCGAGTGGATAAGGCAATTGGTGTCTCCGATACTTATCCACTAGATAGTGCTTTATTCGAATCGAGCACTTACGTTGTTTAGGGGCGGGAGTCATTTGGACAACCCACACGTAAAAAGGATAATAATTAATATGTGAAACTCCTTTTTAGTTGTAAGTAATAACAATATAACTATATAACAGTACTGATGATATTTTTGAAAATAGAGAAGAAATATCGGCAAGGCAGATTATGCGTTGTTTCAAAATTTGCAAATTCAAGATTGTAATTCGAAACTGTCTTTGTATAAAAATATTTCGCCAAACTTGAGATACGCTTTGTAGCCCTTCGGAATATTTTCATAACGGCGTGGCACAGTTTTTACTGCGTTATGATGGAATCTACAAGATCGTGGACGTAGGACAGAATAAAGTTAAGTAGCGAACCCAGCATGTAAGCAGAGAACTAGACAAATAGCGAAACCGGGTATTACCATTGTACGAGAGGGAAGGAGATTCACGAATTAACTCCAGAAAGCGGTGGATCAGCAGTCCCCAATTTTTGATGCTACATGAGGAGGAATGGTCGAGTTCCAAAGAAGACCTCCAAGTGAATGAGAGTGAATTGAAAGTCAGGGCCCCTGTCCCAACAACGTTGATCGTCCCTTCTATGATTGTAGTAGAATGGGGGAAGTACTCCACTTGGAAAAGGCTCATTGGGCTCTACACGTAGTGGATCAGGTACAAGTTCAACCTGAGGTGCAAAGTAAAGAGAGTGAGCCCACCTGCAGAGCAGCAGACCAAGAATTTGACTGCTAATCATGCTGGGTCAGCTCTCTCCAGTTTTCCACCATTCGCATGAAGACAGAAATGGCTTCTTGATCGTGAGATTTTTGGGAGGAACTGGGTGCTACTCTTTTGGGGTATAAAAAAGCTCCCTTTGCATTCTGGGATAGAGCGGGAGCTGTGAATAGAAGATTTCACTACAAAGAAGAAAACACAAGCTTTCTTTTGATACCAAATGTGTTGCGGTTTCACTGGAGAGACAAGATTTTCGTTTATACGGAAACTTCGGTCTAGTTTTCGTCCGTTTGCAGCACTGAAAATAGGCTTGTTTTAGCTTCAAAACAATTCTTTGGATTTGTCAATACAGAGCTGAAAAGATGGTTTATGGCTTCTTCAATCTCCCGGTAAGAATCGCATGTTTTTTGTTTCTTGGAAATGTCTTATAGCATTTGAAAATCGTCGATATTTAACACGCACTAGGTCTCGTATCCTCACGATATTGTAAACATGGGATTGGTTTGCAGCGGTTTACTTGTATCCTGATTTTGTTGGCCACAGCGTGCGACAACAGGAACATGCCTAGAATACACAAGCGCTTCGCTGTCGGTCATTTTATGAAAGTCAAGCATAACCTTGCGGTTCAGCTGGCCGAGGCAAAGGCAAGTGCCCTTTCAGAAATAAAAGGCGTATTCAATTTAATTAACTGATTTGTACCGCTGAATGAAATATTATCAGGTGGTAAATTGTCTACATAATCTCATGGTGTTTTATTGTAATTGGAGAAGAAGAGTTAAATGAGAATTTTTAAACTACATATAATTATTTCTTGTCATTTCGTAGGTAAATGAACTAAAAAAACATCTGGAAGTTTGTCTGCTGGGCTAAAAGCACAATTAATCACAAAGTTAACATTTGTGTCATTATATTATACTAGGATGTGATTTGATTTTTTGTATTGACTGAATGTTATTTTATTTAATAATGTAGTTGACTAAAACATTTCATGGGAAAACTGTGCTTAGAAAGAACCATTTCAAACTGTTTTAGTTTTCTCAAAAAGAGTACCTGCATACACAACTTAGTAGGTTATTAGAAGTTAGAAATGTTAATTACATTTTTAGCATATTAAAAGTGTTAATAATAATGCTATCATTTTATTTTCAGGGGGAGAAGTGAGTGCGATCACCAACAGCCCTTGAAAATCCAAGTTACACATCACAAACATCTCTTAGAAGAAACAGTGAAACATTTGCGCAAGCATCACAGATACATGGAGCTACTAAGAGTAACAAACAACCTGCACTTGATGGTCTCTTTGACACTCTCCAAAAAAGATGCAAGACTAGTGAACTAGGAAACAATGTATTATCTAATGCTAAAGTATCAAACTACATAACTGAAAAAAAGCAGAAACAGGGACAAGAAGCCTTTCAAAATTCTAGGGATAATATATTAACAAGCATAGCTACATACTATACCGGTGGTGTAATGGGCAAACGTAAATACCAGGATGTTAGAGTGGCATCCACTATGAAGTGTAGTGGAAAGAAGCGAGGTGGGAAAACAGCCATTAGATTCATTCCAAAGTGTCCCATACCAAAGTTGCTAACATATAGATCCCTCGTGAACGAAGTAAATAAAATTGATATTGGGACAATCTATTCAATCAGGGATGAATTTGCTCCGTACATAGATGATGAAAACACCAGTGGATGCTGTAGAGATTTAAGGGAATATCTACCTTTTATTTAAAAGTGCAAAATTCACACAAAGACAGCTTGAATTGGTTCGGTGAGACTGAAGGTACTTTCCTAATAGCATTTGGAGGGGATGGGGGTCCTTTCGGTAAGAATGAGACTGCCTGCTCCTTCCCGATCAGCTTTTTAAATACAGGTAAAAGGGTAGCCTCAAGTTCTGACAATTTTTTGATATATGGGGCTAATTGTGAGGAATCTTCATTGGTGGTCAAAAAGTATGTTCAAGCAGCATGCAAACAAATAGTAGACTTGGAGGGAAAGGTGTTTAAAATAAACGATTTGCATGTAACATTTAGGTTTAAAGAGCTACCCAATGATATGAAGATGCTAGCTATGCTTGGTGAGGATCTTTCTAATGCAGCAACCTACTTTTCTTCATTTGGTAATGCAAGCAAAAATGATTACACTGACTTGCAAGGAAGCTCTGGAAGTGACGCTTCATGTAAGTCGAGGCCATGGTCTTTTCAACAAAGGGTTAAGGTCGCTGAAAGTGTTGAAAAATTTAAGATTTCACTCCAGGGAAAACCAGGGTCTGCCAAAGCGAAAAGGTCAAAAGTGACTGAATTCATCGCTCGTCAAAAAAGCAGGCAAGAGTTCACTCCTCTAGTTGGAAAACTCATTGACAATGCCCATGTGGAACCACTGCATTTGAAAAATAATGCTTGGCAATACTTTTTTAAAGCCCTTTTGAAGGAATCCATTGGAAAATCAAATGTACCGCCATCAAAAAAAAAAATTCAGATGTACCAGAAGACAGTTGCTTTGCAATTGTTGTAACTATCCTTCAGTATGAGGTTAAGGCAAAACGTTTAGCCACAAAGAGTAAAGAAATGGTTTGACGAAACCCAAGGAGAACAGGCGGATTTGAAGTACAGTTTTACGGGGAAGGAATCACGGTCTTTTTGCCACAATTTTATGAGGCTCATAAACGTGTTAAGCAGGGAGGGAGACAGTAAGAAGCAAAGACAGACGGTGTTGACATTAGCTTATGTTGGGATCAGATTGAGGGACTGTTGTTCAATATTTAACAGATTTGAAGTCCAGGAAACAGATCTTACTAAACTGAAATCCTTAGCAGAAGAATACTACAGAGCCAATGCAATGTTCTTACCAACTGCAGTAAATCCAACTATTTGGACAATTGGGCATGTTTTGCCTGTGCATGCTAAGCAAGTTTATGACACCTACAAGCAGGGCCTTTTGACAGTCACAATGGAGGGAAGGGAAGCAAAACATTACATTGCACAGGTTAAGTGTAAACACCACACACCAGCAGAGGTGGCAAGAAATATTCAAGCATGAATTTGTCATGCTAATATGGTTACCAGAACAAGGCTATGAGCCTTGTTCCTATACCCCAAGCAAAAGTGTTTACATACCCCCCCTGGATTTTCAATGATTCTTGTTACTGCTATTGTGGATTGCAGAAGGCAGATCCCACAGACACAAGCTGTCACTTTTGCAGTTATAACCTCTTCTCGCTCATCCATGAAAGTAAGTAAGGAAGTAAGTAAGTAATTTTATTTAACCACATATCGCATGAGCGATAGCTCGTTTAAATGCAAATGTGCCATAAGAATTACGTGATAATTTACATAATCTACATGTACAAGTGATAAATAAAAATAAGAAATAGAGAAATTAAATCAACTAAAAAATCATAATAATTTAAAAAGAGAAAATATTGGTAATCAGATTGTCTATTTACAAAATACACAGTTGCAGTCATACGATGAAGACAACTGCATGTTTTGTAAGTTTTTCCTAAAGATAGAGAAGGATTCCGACATCCTTATTTTGCCTGGTAGATTGTTCCATCGTTTACCACCCTGGTACGTGAAAGAATGCTGCATATAAGATGAGGTCGGTCTTGGAAGAACAACCTTAAGATGGCCCCGTAGGCTGTAACCATTGCTTCGCAGTAAAAACATTTCCTGAATGTAGTTCGGTGCCCGGTTATAAATGCTGTTGTATACAAGTATCAGTGCTTGTTCTATGCATTGATGTTCCAAGCTTTTGATATGTACAGTTTTAAGTACTGGTAGCTCTTCATAAGCAGTCGATTTAGAGTAGTTAAGAAGAGTCCTAAGAGCAAATGCATTGGTTGACTCTAATTTTGCAGACAAACCTTTACTTAGGCCTATGAACAATGGTGATGCGTATTCAAAGTGAGGCAGAATAAATGCTTTGTACAGTTTAATCATAATATCTGAGGGTATAATTTTACGAATGCGACGAAGAATTGAAACTTTTGTGTTCACTTTCTGGCAAATTTCTTTAATATGTGCTTTAAAAGAGAGTGAATTGTCGATAATTACACCAAGGAGCTTGATCTGTGGAACGTAATCGAGTTTATTGCTGTCAATAACAAAGGGCGTTGGTAGAGTTGCTCTATTGAAGACAATGGATTGAGATTTACTAAGGTTAATCGCCAGGAAGTTCTTACAAAACCAGGAAACGAGTAGACCAAGGTTGTTTGGTAGATTTATTTGCAAGGTGGATGGACAAGGGCTTGAAGAGTACCCCGTAGTGTCATCGGCATAGAATCTTAAGGAGCACGAAACATCTGAAAAATTCGCATCATTCATGTATATATTGAAGAGAAGGGGACCCAAGATTGAACCTTGAGAAACTCCACACTTCATAATTTGCCAATCTGACAGGTTACCGTCTATCTTGACATGTTGCTTTCAGTCAGTCAAGTAAGAACGTAGAAGTTGTAGGGCGTCTTCAGTTACACCATACACTGACAGCTTTGCAAGAAGCAAATTATGGTTGATAGAGTCAAATGCTTTGGAGAGGTCTATGATAATTGCTGCAGAGTGCTCGCTAGAGTCTAAATTTCCTCTAATGTCTTCGCATGTTTTGACGAGGGCTGTTGTACATGAATGTCCTTTCAGAAAACCAGATAAATTCCCGCTGAGGAAGTGAAGGGAAAACTGAGAATTCCTGGTTCAGCAAGTTTCAATAGGCGTGGAGAGATTCCGTCTGCACCAGTGGCTTTATTAATTTTGATACTGGAAAGTATCCTCTTGATGTAGGAATCCCGAACAGGAGTAAATGAGAAGCTCATTTGTCCTTTAAATTTCTGTTCAATGGCTATAACACTGGAATGGGTCTAGACATGTGGGTAGGCCTGGGTACTGCATGAATGAAATAATCGTTTAGAAGATTGGCGACATCAATACTGTCAGTAATGAGGCGCCCATCTTCAATCAGTTGAATATGGCTGTTACCTCTGTCCTTGCTTGGAAGCAAACAATGAAATTTCTTCCAAAATTCCCCAGGGTGTTTGGAGTTTATGGATACATTAATGCAGTATGACTTGAGGGAAGAGCGTTTTAAAGAAGTGACAAAGTTCCGTTGTTTCCTATAGGCCTCCCAATTTTCAGGCGTTTTGTTCTTAGTAAACGTTCTGTGTAGACGATTTCTAGTGTTTATAGCCTGAATAATTTTTGGTGTCATCCATGACACAGTGTTACCGCGTACCAGTTTTCTCTTAAGCGGTGCGTGACGATCAATTACTTTAGTGAATAATTTATACCAGTGCGCCCAGATGTCGTCGATATCATCGTAAATAAACGCAGAGTCCCAGGGGAAAGTGTCAAACAAGGAAAAATTTTATCTGGTTTAGCTAAGAAGCAGTTTAGAAAATGTGCTCAAAAGGCAAGACATCCAAAGAAATATTATGGATAGAGTGCTGTTGTTAAAAGCAAGTGTCCTAGGGATTGCACGAACCAGTGTAAGACATTAGTTTATGTTTACCTTACTGAATGGGTCAGCATTTATTATCACTGACTCATCCCAGCAATGCACAATTTAATTTGTTGAAAAAGTTTCCACATAGAAAAGAAAGCAATGTTTCTAAAAATAACATGTTTTATTGTTGAGGCTATCATTTATCTTTGAAGATGGATATTTTCAATTTGGATGAAAACACATTCTGAAGCCAGTGTGTGGACTGAATAAGAATGATGCTTGAAGAAACTGGTCACAAAAATCATGCAGCTACAGTGAATTATTAATTTAGACTTCATTTTACTGTACGTATTTTGGGTTTTAATCAGCTGTTTAAATGAGCCATTAATGACAATCAGACTAAAGTGGCTGGGTTTGTTATTGATTCAGGCTTTAGTGGTCAGTTTGCATGGACAGAAGCGAGTTAAGATGTATTAAAATTAGTGTCCACTGATAAGTAAGGGATTTTCCCTGGCTGAGACGCTTCTGACACGTTAATTAAATTAATCTGTGTCTATTTTATTGATAGTTTGAACTTGTCTGTTAAACTGAATTCACAATGCAACTGTTCTGTTGTTATGACCTGTCAATGTTAAACACAGGGGAACAGGTAGACATGGGGCATTTCACGTAGAATTTGTCCAGTCCCACCCTCGGGGACTTCACCTGATTTTAAGCATTCTGTTCCCCTTGGAGGGGATTTCGATGAAAAGTAAAATCTCCATCCCCAGCATGATTCCCCACCCTGGCTTGAAGTTAATAAAAAACACTTGTGAAACATATACCTGTTCAATTGTGTATAACAGAAAGCAAACTCAATTTACTTTACAATATATAGCAACATGGCATTGTCTGGGGTGTCAATCCCCCATCACCTGTTCCTCTCAAGCGTATCAGAATCAAATCATACAATCTCTTAACCATGAAATCCACACCGAAATTCATTCCACAATCCATAGTGGCATGGCATAACCGTCATTCGCTTGCGATCATAACAAATTATAAAAGGCTTGTCCTCATCCTCAAGTACATCTGCTTTGAAAATCATGGAACAAGCCCTTTCTATGAGTGACCTTTACAACGGAGTCCTCTACTGACACACCAAAAGCTGAAACCCTTTTCTGATTGCATCCTTGATGTGGCTGAATATTTCTTGAGGAAGATCACGTTTTATCTCAATACACCACGGGTCTCTAGCCTTGGGGGTGGCTAGCATTCGCCGATTAATACATTTCAGCCACATTAAAACTTCTGCGGTGATCATTGACCAAACACTTGCTCTTGACAACGGAACTCTATCCATATTGCTCCCGTTGGATTCATGCCTTTGGAAGACATTCTCTAGACAGCTACTCGCCTCCACATTTAAGGTGTAATAGTCGTTCAAAAGCCATCTCAAAGGACGAAAGTTGTTCACAGAACGTTTTATGACCTCTTCCAGGCTACAATCCGGCTCTTTGGAGTTGCCACCACTGTTACCGTTTGAACAAACTTCCTCCAACACTCGTTCCACAGTGATGGATGCCATAATGTTTTACGCGATGGCCGCTGACTTGTACTAACCGCAGTAATGACTTTCTGCAGACAGCTCAGATTGAATTGTTCAAGCAAGGGTATAAGGATCTTCAAGCAAGTTGGGAACTGTCGAGTAAAAGCCCACTTCTTCCCTTGCACCCAGTCCTTACAGAACGAATTGTAAGAGTTGGTGGCCACCTGGACAAAGCTCCAGTACCCTTCGAGGCAAGGCACCAAGTAGTCCTTTCACCAAAACATCCTTTGTCCAGGTTGCTGGTTCAAGACCTTCAAAAGAAACACTTCCACGTAGGAAGGGAACACACCCTGGCTCTTGTGCATCGTCAGTTCTGGATCCCACGAGGGAAATTATTCATTAGAAAGACCGTTAATGACTGCCTGCACTGCAAAAGGAGAAGGGAGAAACCAGAAATACCTGTGATGGCATCCTTGCCCAAAGAGTGACTTGCATTTAGTGAGCCTCCATTCACGAACACTGGCATAGACTACTTCGATCCGATGAATGTAAAGAGAGGAAGGGTTACGGAAAAAAGATGGGGATATTTGTTTAAATGCCTGACCACATGCAGCTCACTTAGAGTTAGCAGGTAACTTACGCACGGATTCCTTTATCGTGGCGTTGAGAAGATTTTGCGGAAGAGGCAACCCTAAGACAATAGGGACCTTTAGCATCGACGACAAAATGGGACGACGACGCCGACCGGAAGTGAAATTTTCCCGCGCGAACCTTCTGGGCATGCGTTAGGTTGTCAAAACGTTGTCCAGCCTTCGTCGACGACTGAATCAGAGCAAGTTTTCGCTCTGGTGGAAACGTAAGTAAACAACTAAACTTTTTCATGCTGATAATCGTCTGTTTCCACCTCTTGTTATAATGATTGTTTGATGTATTATTTGCGGACCAGCGGAAGTGAAATGTTTAACAGTTTAGCTATTTTTAACAGACTAAAATGACTTTCTTTCAGAAGCATCCGAAACCATGGCTGGCCACATTTCTACAGCCGACCAAGAACTCGTTCAAAAGAAATGTAAGTTTTTCTGTACTGATCTCTTTAAAGAGAATTTTGGGATATTTCAAGTCATGTTCCTCTTATTTTAAACCTGCATGTCATTGTGCTAATTTTAAGTTGCACTTCAAGATATAAATCTTCAGTTTTGCTGTAAAAATATATATTTTCGTGTTATTTTGACAGCGAACAAGTCCAGGTATTTTGTTTGGACGGAAGACCATGATGTCTTGATGCTTCGCGAAGCTGTAACAAGCGAACCTTACAATTTTAAACCGAAAAGCAGCGAGAGAGGAAAAGTATGGGAAAGCATCGCAACCTATTTGAATTCTCTGAAGACTCCAGAATTCAGGGTTACAGCAAGGGCAGTGAGAGATCGATATGCACTCCTGACCTCCCGGCACAAACTAAAGCAAAGAGAAGAAGAGAAAGCATCTGGGATCGATGTCCCCGAGCTCACAGAGCTCGATGCCTTGTTGGAAGAAATTCGAGAGCGAGAGAAAAGCGCAGAAGAAAAGAGTGACGCCCTGAGAAACGAGAGGAAGGCAAAAGATGAGAAAGAAAAAGCTAAAGCAGAGGAAATCAGACAGGCGGCTCCTCAGACAATGGCAATTAGAAAGAACGATGATAGTGGCGAGAAGCCAAAAAAAGCTAAATTGAGGAGGAGCACCTCTGATGCAATCGGATTTTTGGCCGAGAAGTCAGAGAAAGAGAGAGAATTGAAAAAGGAAGAGTTAGCCATCAGAAAAAGAGAGCTCGATCGAGCAGAAACTAGACAAGAGGGGGCTGTGAGGCAGCAGCAGCAGCTTCAACAGCAAAACCTTCAAATTATGCTTGACCAGCAAAACAAGGTATTTATGGCATTGATGGAAAATATAAAAAAGCATTAAGCTCGAACCTTATGAATGTGGAAGAGCCCTGAACTTGTTGAGTTGACTTTTGTTATGATTTTAGTTATCTACAAGAGCATTGTTGATGATGTAATTATATTTCTTTTCTAAAGAGAGTTTTGTAAAGTTTCATGAAGAAATGTTTTTGCTAATAGACAGATGTTTTTCTGTACAAAGGGTCCTAAATGCCCAAAATAAATCTTAAAAATAGTATTTATAGCTAGGTCTATTCTTTTCTGTTGTTTGGTTAGCTGTGCTTTTATGTAATTAGCTCATAGTATTTCTTACAAGTGAGTCCACTCTAGAAATTGAGCCAATTTCGAGCATCATCAAGGCAAAATCTCTCAAAGAAGTATGGGTATCTTCATTCAGTCATGTTAGATTGGGGTAGCTTTCACCCAGGGTTGACTCTGTAAAAATTCACCATAGTAAACATCCTGGGTTAGTGCCAGCCCAACCTCCAACAAAAAGGCCCTTGGGCTCCTATATTTGTAAAATGTTTGATAAAGGAATTCCAAAAAAATAGCCTGACTCTGCAATGTTGTTCTTAATTTTTTTTGATAAATCTCTTTTATTTCTATTTATAAAATTAGTTTAAGTTAATTAACCACCGTTTTCTGAAAAATGGAAAATAAAGTTGGGAAATAAATCAATAGTTACAATAACATTTCTTGAAAATAGAAAACTTTTAGAAATAAAATTGTGCTTAATTTTATTATTCTTCATTTTCTCTTAGAAACAACATAGATCTTTCCAACACTGCTGAGGAAAAGCTTCAGATCTTTCTTAAAGTCATTAAAGGTTGCTGACAATTGGGTTACATAAGCTGTTGATTATATGAGTACTTCAGAAACTTTTCTCTAACTTCATCTTCAGTTTATATAACTTTAGCCTGTCCTATAGCCTTGAAAAATGTTTCATTTTTTTTTCTCAATATTTTCCCTTTTTTAAAATAAGTGCAGGTCTACAAAAATAAACATTTGTTCACATCCCTGCTTTAAAGCTGGTGGCCTGTACTGTTTTGTAACTTACCAACTGGGCCATATAGATTTCCGATCAAGCCATTTGGCAAAGCAATGCTTTGAAATTTCAGGGCATGAACCCTTTTATGCCCATTGTAAAGAAGTCGCTGATGTTCTCCAGGTCTTGATATAGGCCTAACGGTACCGTCAATAAAGCCAAAACAATTGGGCAGTGGGGCTCCCCTGGCTGTCACAGCATCAACATAAGTCTGCAGGTTGACAGGACTAAGGACCTCATGATTCCAGTTTAGTACTCTGTTCCCGTGAACATTATACACAAAGTCAATCATTTGATTGGTGATCATGCTAAGAACTGGAACAGGTTTAGCGAATCTATGGACCATGTCTCCATAACTGCATGGGTAAGAAAGCCGCTTTAGCAGCATGCAGAGACCTTCTAGTCCATCACAAACAGAGCGCTGACTGCAGGTAATCGTGTCAGGGATTAGCAAAACTTCCTTCAGAATTCGTATATCTCGTTTTCCAAAGGGAAACTCTGCAAAACTCTCAGACTCGTCAAGCTCTTCCAGGTCAAAAGGTGCGTACGAATCGTACGGAAAGTCGGGGTTTTTCGATGCATAGAGGTCGTACAGAACAACAAATTCATCATCATTGATAAAGCCATCGTTGTGATTAATGAGAAGCAGATTTCGGACGTTTTTGAAAGCCATAGCTAGAGCTACTTGTCAGAGAACCAAAAATCGTCGTCTCATAAAAACAACACGCTGCTTAACTTTCGTTTTTCCCGCCGAGAACAAAAGCCTCGACCCAATCCTCCTTGGGTTACAAACGTCATCTTCATGTATTTCGTTGTCGATGCTTAAGGTCCCTAATGCTTCGAACAACGGAACGAACTTTGTCGGAGTAAAAGAATGTGACTGAACGTGAAGTCACTGAGTCAAGAACGGATCACCAGAGAGCTCACTTAAGAAGGGATCACCTGGTACTTCAACCCCCCTTCATCCCCACATATGGAAGGAATATTCGAGTCAATGGTCAAGCAAGTAAGGAGAGCAATGAAGACCGTTATAAATGATCAAGTTCTACCTGAAGAAACACTTCATACAGTCCTTGTTGAGGCAGAGGCTATTGTAAATAGTCGACTGCTCACTGCAGTCAGTGACGACATCAACAATTACGTGGCACTTACTCCAAACCACTTCCTCATCGGACGAGAATCAAGTAAGAGCCCACCCGGTCAGTTTGAAGAAGGTGAAATAAATAGCCGTAAGAGGTGGAGAATGGGCCAGGCGGTTGCTGACATGATATGGCAATGATGGCACAGGGAGTGTTTGCCTAACCTGTCGATCTGTTCAAAGTGGAACAAAGAACAGCGTAGCTAAAGGAAGGCAACTTGATCCTGTTGAAGAAAGACGATGCGCCCGGTCACATTGGCCTCTAGGAAAAGTTCTCAAGACATTCCCTGGAGATGATGGCAGAGTACGTATGGCAGAAGTCAAGACTCCTAACGGAACCTTGATGCGGCCTACCGTGAAGACGGGCTTGTTGGAAGTATCTGCTTGATAGCTTGAGGAATGCAGAACAGTGCTTTACTAAGAACATTTTGAGTTAGGAACAGTTTTCGGTTTTGTTAATGTTTGTAAATTAGGTTGCCGTTTCTCTCGTTGACTAGGGAACTTAAGATGGAGACGTTTTCGGGGCGACGGCGACTGGACTGGCAGAGAAAGCCTGGAACTAAGGCAGCCGTCGCTTCCCGTCAAAAATAGAACATTAAGATCGCAGTGAACTCAGAAGGATGGCGCCTTTAATTAGAAGAATACCGAAGAGGAAAATATGGCTTCACATAAAGAATTAAGAGAATAAATATTTGCTATGCAGACAACATGTATCGGATGAAGAGTTTCCCGTTTTGTAGGAAAATTATGAGTCCAAAAATACCGATTTTCCTCGGGACAGTTAAGATCCGTTCACGCTAAAAAACATGCGGGATGCAGCTGAGTTCAAGGCAGAATTTCTTCGTGTTGAAAAAAAAAAATGATCTCCACGGGCTTGCCGAAGCCTTGCAAATTACAGGAATATTAAAATGCTACCAAGGAACCGTATTCTTAGTTTGGTATTGAAATAATTCCCGGGAAATACTTGCATGCAACAACAACAACAACAACGTTATTTCAGTTTTCCCACGCCGAGTTAGTACATGGTATACCTACTATTCTATATAATTTTCAATGCGTTTCATTTATACGATGTTCTAACGAAAAGAGCGAACTAAAAACACACAATTGAAATATCGGAGTTCATATTTTTTGTCTGGATACTTTTATTTGGCTCGTAGGAAAATTTTGTCCATGTCAAGCTCACTTACGGTTGGCTGTTTGCCAAGTTGGATCTTGACCCTGTGACATGAAAACATAGAAGCATTCAAAGATGTAAGTTTAGATAACAGAGCTTGGAAATCGAGCTTGAAATGTGCCTCAAAGAAAACAAGGACAATTTAAGAACGATAATCTGCAAAATGTTGGTTGCTAAATGCAACAAACCTGATTGAAATGAAAGTTAAATACTCACGTTTTCGCCACAACGCCAAACAGACCAGTTTCACGTCGCCGACGGGACCACGAAGGCAAGGTGGTGCGCACGAGCATGCGCAATATGCAACAAATGATGATGTCACGTCCGGTTGAAGTTGCCGTCGCCCAGAAAACGTCTCTATCTTAAGTTCCCTACTCACTGGGGACAGGGGGGAAGGAGCGGTCGCTGTAAAATTCCCATGATGATGTGAGAGCATGACTCGGACCACAAGGTGCTGTGAATGTAAAAACATTCTTGTTGCGTTGAGTTTTTAGGCGTTTTTGGATCATGGAGTGTCCAAGGAGGATTGTCGGATTTATGAGCTGAATCATGATAGTATAAGACAGTATTGGGATAATTTTTAAGATCTTTTCAGTCAACTGTCAAGTGTGAGGTGGCAAACATTCAACTTCAATTCACAACAGTTAACTAAGGTCAATGTGTCTTTAATTTGAGCTGTCAGTAAAAGAACATTTTTTAATTTTTTTTGTCTGGAAGACTGTAATAATAATTTAATATTAGTACACTTTAATTTTTTACACTACAGAGATATGCGCTTTGCTACAGAAAGTAGACTACAGATTAAACGCAATTGTGTGGTTTCATGAGAGTTCTGGCATCTTTTAATATCGTAAGGACTCATTAGGTTTTGTACTGGAACTCGTGATTTTTTATGTGATGACCCCAAGTACTCACTATTAGCAAATCGTAACAAAGTCACTCTACTGTGGGTGCCCTTGCAAGATCCTAACATCCTGTAAGATTGTACCCTTCTGGTAGTTTGTATATAATACGAATTTCGACAGTATGATAATCATTACTCTGAATTTTGTTTCATGATTACGCGGCAGGGTCATGCCGTCTATTGTTGATGCTGGGATTTGAGGCCACCTGTTTAATTTGCATACCAATAACTTACCTGTCCTGAAATGTAGTTAATGTAATAGTGAAAAAGAATTAAACAATTTGCATTTCTGACGTTTAAGTTCAACGTAGCAAATAAGACCGAGTCTCGTGTCCGTGGAGTTCAGAGGTCTTGTCCTAATCCTGATGGCGCGACGAACCAGAAACCCCAGCGGCAAATTCAAAGGCGCGGTCAGTCTCGTTATGTGTATGCTTTGTTTTTTATGCTTCAAACGCCAAGAACTTTAACTAAAAAGACATTGGGTGACCGTGCTTTTTTAGCTGCGGCACCTAAACTGTGGAATGGGTTACCATCACAAATACGAAATGAGCCATTTTTCATAGATTTAAAGGTTTACTTAAGACCCATTTTTTTAGATTAGCTTTTTTTTACGATTTTTTAGGACTATTTATATATTATATTTTTATAGATCCATGTTTTTAATATATATAATATTTTTAGTTATTTTGGATAACTTATTAATGTCGATAATTTACTTTCATGTAATGCGCATTTGATCATATTTAAATGTATTTTGCGTACTATAAAATATTAAATTATTATTACAATATAAGAGATCAAAACCTTATAGAACACATCTTTTTAATACACCAGTGTTTTCGTGATGGATCATTCACGTGTCATAAACGTAATTCGTAGCGAACGCTTCACCTTAGTAGAAATTCGAGAAGAGAACAGATTGCAGTTGGTCAACACGGTTAACATCTTGATGAATTTTTTTATCTTCGTATTCTTCCTGGATCATAGCCTGGTTTACACGATTTGGAAATGTCAAATCAGCTACAGATAATCCTACAAAATACTAACCGAGTTTTAGAATCGCACCGTCAGCTGACAGCGGAAATTTCAGTTACATTGACAGTGTTAGACGCCTTGGAAGAAGCAATTGTACGGCTCCACTGAGCGTGGGGCATCACAAACGGCTCTTTTAAGAGCCACAAACTGATCAAAAAGCTCATGGCCAACAGAAACAATTTTGTATACTGATATTAGGAAAGCTTAGGAAAAATATTTCCAAGATTTGCCCGCAGGAATATTTTATTGCCTTTAACAGGGTCAACAAACGACCGTTTCCTGCCTTTCTTCCTAAATACATTGAAAACAATTTTTAGACTATCCAGTGGATATCTAGAAATGCATTCTAGGCTGCGCTAAAAAATTTGTATGGCTGGGACATCATTAATTAATCTTAAAAATGACACAGCATTGTCAATACAGGTTCCCACCCGAGGGGTTCTATAAATCGAGTACTGTCAAAAGAATTTAGAGCAAAAAATTGTGAATGACTCATGCATGTTAAACTGTTTTACTCAAACTTTATTGGAATGACAGCTGACTCACAAAACACACATTTCATGCTTAATTGACAAGGTGTCTGGAAATGAAATTAGGAATTCAAAAGCTGTCATTTGTTTATAGTTTGGACAAAAAGACTACATGTATATCCAACCAATTTTTTTGAAAACAAACCTATTAACGAAATTTGCAGTCATTTGAGTGAAAAGGTGTCAAAAGGCAGGTTTTTGGAGCCCGAGAAGATTCAAAATCACAGTAACGAAGGAAAAGGTAAAGGAGAAAAAGAAAGAGCGAAGAGAAGGAAAGGAGGAGAAGAAAAAAAAGCAATGGTTGCACTATTAGTTTTTATAATAGCTACTTTGGAGATAGTTTTTGGCGGACAACAAGAGTATAATACCATCAACTGACGTGATACAACTCACTTTGACTCTGGAGATGACTACTGCACAGGTCGTCGAAACGTCAGTCACTGTCAACAACAACAGTCCTATTCAGGACTACATTCACCCGGACGATCAAACCCAACCTACTTTTGAAATGACTCCTGGGTTCAAACCTTTCACAAAAAAAAACTGTTGGATGCAAGAGGTCCATTTGGCGATAATGTTATCAAAAATCCCGCTAGATATATATTAAGGAAATTCAGTTATTGCTATGAACGATTTGTTCCTAATTGTTTTTCTGCGTGAGTCTATTTCAGTAGGATACTGGTTTCCCCCAAAGGCCTAATATTATTGTTGTTGGCTTTTCGAACCTACAAGGCCAACATTTCTGGCAGTTTGTATATAATATGAATTTCGACAGTATGATAATCATTACTCTGAATTTTGTTTCATGATTACGCGGCAGGGTTATGCCGTCTATTGTTGATACTGAGATTTGAGGCCACCTGTTTAGTGGATATTGATAACTTGTTTATTAATATAAGTCTAGACCGCTACCTGTCGACCGACATAGGGTGCCGGGTCTGGTGAGCCAACTTGCTACATTCTATCCAGGCTATTACACTAGTACAATGGTATGTGCCTGAGGGTCACAAGGTTGTGACTAAGACGAAAAGTATGTCCCGTGATAGTCATAAGACTAACACTAGCCTATCAGATAGCCTTACGCAACTTTCCAGGGTGTATCAAGTTAGTCCGATACAACCAGCAGTCATAGCTTTTACACAAGCGCATCTATTGCAGCAAGCTTTATTACAACTATCGGGTTTTAGCCTTGAGATTAAATTTTGATTATGGACAGCAACAGTGAGTCTGTTATCAATATGGAAACTACATCAAAAAGAGTGGCGAGATGCACTGGCTGCAAAACGCCCATTGACAACCACCATTGGGGCATCCCATCCAGATTCTGCGATGGCTTTGAAAAGTGCTCCCCCAAGAGAGAGGTCAAAGGCGCGTCTCCACTCGAAGAAGAGGACGTAATGGCAACGCTAACGGAAGAACTGAAGGCCCTCGAACTGGAGGAACAAGCCATACGGAGACAACAACGTGAGGAGAGACTTCGCGCAAAGATTGCAGAGAAAAGGCAGGCAATCGAAGCATTGCATCGAAGCAGCCCTTTACAGACTGCGGATAGAGCCGGAACCTTCACCACCAGGGATCTATCAAAATTGGAACTCAATGATGCAGTTGGGGGGAAAACGCCTCTAGACGAGATCCTCCAAACCATTGACCCCTTGCAAGACCAACCAATGAATGGTGCCACGTGGCCAACGCAAGCTTTCAACCGTGCCCCGATATGGCAATCACCGTCTAACAACACGGAAATGTTCCTGAAACCAGGGAAAATGGCAAAGGGTGAGAAACCTTTATTGATAATTGACTTTGTTAATAACATTGTCCCTCAAGATGAGGAAGAAACTCTTGGCAACCAGGGACATGCCAAAATTGTTGTAACCTATGGGCCCCAAAAGCCCAAATTAGAAACTGTTAGTTTATCACAGTGGGTCAAAGCTAATACCCGCATTTTTTATACATTGCTCTCAGAGGGCAAATTACCTAGCCAAGTAGCAATTCAGAATTACCTCGCCTATACTGTAAAGATAATGGAGTTATCTGCGAAGTACGAGTGGCGTTCAATACTTCTATACGACAATGAGTTTCGTAAATTGCAGGCTATTTATAATTTTCAATGGAGCTTCGACTCGCCCCACCTCCACACGGTCATGTTGCAACCCATATTCAAGGCTAACATTACTAAACCATCACAAACTAACCCACCTTCAACACGTATGGGTTTTGCTACTTTCACCTCAGAGGGCAGGGTTATTTGTCGCAATTTTAACGGGCCAAGGGGTTGTACCCTTCACAACTGCAACTTCGCGCGTGTGTAACCGGAAAGTAGCAGGGAAAGCATGTGGTTTATCGCACTCGGTATTCTCACAAACTGGATGGGCCCCAAACACGCAACCCAGTTCATGACTCCCAATAGGCACTAATCCTCAAACGCGACCTTTGGCTTTGAACTAAAAAGACGGCACGAGGATTCGGCTTTTCTTTGCAATGGCGTATGCAGTGGCTTTAAATTAATTGAAACGGGCACTAGCTTTGTGGATGTTGACATGGACAATTACAAATCGGGCGACAAATCCAGTCAGCAGACCTAAGGTCGAACAGACTATACGAGACGAGATTGCGCAAGGCAATTATGTATTGTCGGCTGTTAAACGCAGATCGTAAGCGCTTTAGGAGCTATTCCTAAACCAAATTCACCCGAAATTCGTCTCATTCACGATTGCTCTCGGCCTCACGGGCAGGCTGTTAACGACTATATCTCTACCGAATCATTTAAGTTCCAAACACTCGACGATGCCGTCAAATTACTCAGACCTAATTATTACATGGCCAAGATTGATCTTCGACATGCATATCGTTCGGTACCTATTCACCCGGACAACTATCCGGCAACTGGTTGTAAATGGCAATTTTCTGGGGATCAGCACTTTAGCTATTTCTATGATACACGTTTACCTTTCGGCGCAAAAAGCTCGCCTGAAATTTTCCACTGCATCACGCAATCAGTGCGTCGGATGATGGCCAGACGAGGGTTCACCGACATCATTGTTTACCTCGATGACTTTTTAGTCATAGGTGCTACTCGGGAACAGTGTCAGCTCGCGTATGACACGCTCTTACAGCTTCTTCTAGGCCTCGGCTTTTCCATTAGTGACCATCAACTGATAGCTCCTACTCAGAATTTGACATTTCTTGGCGTTCAGCTGGACACAACAGCTTGCACCATGACCTTACCGGATGACAAGTTGGCTGAGCTCCAGGCCCTGGTGATCGGATTTCAAAACAAACAGCGGGCGAACAAAAAGCAGTTGCAGCGGCTAGCGGGCAAATTGAACTGGGCTTGTCGCGTGGTTCACGGCGGCCGCACTTTTTTGCGACGAATCCTTGATACCATGAATGCCCTCCGCCCAGCTGGGAAGTTCAGGTTGGATCAATCCTTTCGTGACGACATCGCATGGTGGGTTACTTTCCTTAACGTTTTTAACGGCACACGACTGTTTCTCGACGATTTGCCAACCCTAGACGTGGCTACGGACGCCTGCCCTGTAGCAGCCGGTGGGTATTTCCGGGGAGACTGGTTTTACCACAGTTTTCCGATGGACAGCCCAGCATGGACAGAACTGCACATTAACCACAAGGAAACCTTGGCGATAGTGTTAGCGGCTAAACGGTGGTGCAGGTTATGGTCAAACAAACGCGTCGTCATCCACAGCGACAATCAAGCGGCTGTGCAAATGATAAACAAAGGAACTACAGCTAGCAATGTTATAATGCCGGAATTACGCGCGCTTTTCTGGCTCTCGGTCTTTTACAATTTTCATATTACCGCGGTTTATTTACCAGGCGCCAAAAATACACTTGCGGATTCTATTTCACGCATGCACGAATCAAAGGGATTACTTAGCTTCTATTCCTTTCTCTGCAATACCTTTTCGCCAGCTCTCGCACACGCCATCCCGCTGACAAAGCATATGTCGATTCACGGGCACCGCTTCATCTCTTGCAGATCCTCGAGACCCGAACCTGGCGGTCCAACTTAACCACGAAGTTCAGCAATACAGATCACAACTGTTTGCCGAGTCCACCAAAGCTACCTACAAGACTCATCGCAACACCTATCTCCGCTTCTGTTCGTACATGGGCTACACTCCGGTTCCAGTACACCCGGCGCACTTACTGCAATACGCTGCTTTCTTAGCCAGATCCCTCAAACCGTCATCTATCGGCAGTTATCTAAACATTATCGGCCTACTTCACAAAGAATTTGGGTTACCTAACCCCCTACTTAATAATTGGCCACTAAAATCGTTACTCACTGGCATCAAGCGCGCTATAGGTACACCCCCAAACCAAAAATTACCCATTACCCCCTCCATCCTCTTGCGCCTGCATGCAACTCTCAATTTCACTAAAAGTTTTGATTCTTCTTTTTGGGCCATATGTCTGGTTGCGTTCTATGGCCTGTTTCGAAAATCTCACCTGCTACCTATGTCTGCTAGGAAATTCGACCCGTCTAAGCAACTCACCAAAAGTGATTTTAGGTTCTTCTCCTGGGGAACACTTGTCACCATTCGATGGAGCAAAACCATCCAGTTTAGGGAAAGGGTGGTTGATATCCCGCTCCCCTGCATTCCCGGGAGCAAATTATGCCCTACCACGGCTATCATACATGCCTTCCATTTCACTAACTCCACTGCAGCTAACAGTCAAGCCTTCAACTGGGTTGTCTGCCCTTCACCCACTGCTCACTTCTTCACATATAACATGTTCATTTCTAAACTACGAGACCACCTAACTACCATGGGTATTGACCCTCAG